TAATGAAATATCGACGATGACTTAAAACAATGAAAATTTGTAAAATAATTCCAATCCATAAGCTGCTAATATATATAAATATGTATTTCGAATATTTATGATAAGAACCCATAACTGGAATCAGTCTTGTATTTGATATAAATTGATTTTATTGTACATGATATACGCGTAAATTTTAAACTGAATCGACAATCTTAGTAGCACCACTTGTCCGACTGACGCAACGGTATTCTCCTCGGAAATATAATTACCTCACGAGTATAGTGGACTTCTTATGGTTATTGTTGCTTCCTCAAAATAAATTTTTAAAATAAAGATTTTTATTTCGCTATAACATCTAAGAAATAATGAATAAATGACTTTTTAATTTTTAAATGTAATGTATTAATATTAAGTTATACTAGATAAAATTTCAAAAATTAAACATAATCATAAGCTATGGTGTTATACAAATATATCACGATTACTTAAAATCTTTGCTATTTCATAGAGTATGCATTATTTAATCAATCTAATATATTATTTTTAAACTATATAATTATTAATATTCGTTTATGATTGAAATAGTCCTTAAAATTAATATTAATGATATAATCTTATATTGTAAGTAATATAAGTAATTCTCAAAATTTTTTTGAAATCCAATGAAAATATATTATTTTAGTTTATTCACAAAATAATAATTTACCTTAAATTGGATTAACAATATTAGATCGACAAATCTTTAATATTAAAATTTAAGGGATAAAATTATTCTAAATTAAATTTCTTCTCTCTAAATATTTTATATTATAATAAAAGAAAACAGTACCAATTGTTAAAATGCTTTCAAAGATAAATTTTTCATTTAGATTCATTTTGTAAAAATAAAAGAGTAAAATTAATGTATTAAATAATCTTAGAATTCAATCTTTACAAAAAATAATCATTTATGTAAAGTTTAAATAAAGGTATAATAAATTTCGTTATTAAGATATCTAAACTGCTGTTGTTTTATCATCGCAAAAATCACACATAAAATACTTTTTAATTACACTGATAATATGCCTGTTATAAATCTTTTTTATCTTCATCAGACTAATTATTTTTCTACTTCATTAGTTATGTAGGTAAAGTACTATCATATTTAAGTTGAAATAGAATATTTATAATCACATAAATTGTAAACCAATTTTCGGAAGTTAGATTAAACTAATCCACACGCGTGTGAATAGATATTTGAATGAATAATTAGTTAAAATTTTATATATATATATATATATATGTATATATGTATGTATGTGTGTGTACATGTGTGTGTATTATACACATATAATAAACTAGTTAATAATAGTAACATTATAATAATATGTTAAATATAACATACCTTATTTATCAAATTTAATCTCTAAATATATAGTGATATATAAATTAATTTAACTAAATTTTATAATGTGGGTTATAATGTTCTTTATGTAATTTATATTTTTATAATTTTTTATAAAATTATTGATTTGTTTATTATTTTTTACCATATTTTTCTTTAAGATAACATGAATGAAGACAATATTTAGTCTGATATAAAAAGCTAGATAAAATAATTTTTGAATGACAACTGCCTTCCGACGTACCGTCATTAGGTATGACGCATTTGGTACTAGTAAATATGTCAAATTTGCGTCAAATTGCGTCTGTGATAAAATAATCTGTCGTTTGTCACCTTAATCTTACGAATAATTTTAAGAGGAAAAACGTACATTTGATTTTGCCACCTCCTACTAGGTACTCAAGTTTCAATTCGAACTCATATTCTATTAATGAGTTTACTATTTTATCAATTCAAGTATTGTTTATATTATTCGATTGTCAAAAGGTCGCATGTTTTAAATATAAGAGTAATAATTATGTATCCTTTGATTTTTAAATAATATTACAACTGGCATTTATAATTTCTTCCATGAAATATTTAATCGTGTTTATTATTATTATATATATATATATATATATATATACACACACATATATAAGTAATATTTTGTCTAATAAAGAAATAAATATAAAATTAAAAAAAAAGTAATATTTTACTTCTTTATTAGACAAAATATTACTTTTTTTATTTTATATTTACCTAAGTACAATAAGCTTAATTTTAATTTATTTTTATCGAGCATGCAATTTGTTTTTAGATAATTAAATAATTAAAAATAGTTATATGATTAATATTTCATTCCTCTCACGTACACTTACATGATTTCAATAAAATATTATCTACTATTTTCTTTGCAGTTTCTACTTACAAATAACTTTGTCACTTTAATTGCTTTCAGCATGCAATTTAAATATTATATATTTGTAACCAGCATTATTTTCAGCTCTTTAGACAAAGCGATGCCATTGTCACTTTACTTTTGCATATTTATTTTTTTTACACTTTACCTTATATTTATAAACTGCTCACATACCCAGTGTCGCATGCACTTTCTCATGCTCAATCACGACTGTGCGTGTAGAATGAACATCATTTTGTATATTACCTCGATGGTGAGTAACCTGATTGTTTTATTATTTCTATTATTCTACAATTACGTAAATTATATATTAAAATAGTTAGAAAATAATAAAATATTTATTTAACATAAAAATTTTACTTTTGAATTTTTATTTAATCATTAAAATTAAATATACCTAAGAACTTTACAGTTTTCAAAAAAATTTGTACCGTAAAAAAAATAATTTTAAAAAGAAATAAAGTGCACGATTGTTTAATTAATTCCTATAACTTAAAGTATTATTATACAATAATTTTGAATGTTTCATAAACCAATTTGCAAAACATAATGACATATTATGATCAACATACAATGCAAATTTTTTTTTGCTCGAGAAAAAAAATTTTTTACACTTACTTAATAAATTTTGTATTTAAGTAAATTTTGCTTTTAAAAATAATCAAAAAGATTATATTAATCAAATTATTATAATAAAATTTCAATTTATTAATAAAATAAGATCTTTATTTGATAAATACATACGCAGTTGTATAATCTAGTTTTTTTAATACACGTTTAAAAAACATAGAAAACTATATGTTAATATTAAAAAATTAAAAAAAGATTATTTACGATATTACTTGATTATGAAACAGTTATTATTTAAAATTGTAATACAAATATTGCAATAATAGATATCTTATTAAATTACAAAATATTAATATTTAGTTTTTCATATGGAATACATGTATTTTCAATTTAAATTAGCGTATTTGACCAGAATAAATGTATTATTGATTTATATCAAGAAAATGTATATATATACATATAAAATTATACTTTTTTTATATAAATGTATACAATTTTTTGAACTTTTGTTCTATTTAAACTTTCGCAATTATCTGAGTTATAAAAACAATATTAGTTTACTTAAAAATGATTTTTACTAATACAAAGTCAACAAATGTTAAATCTTTATTACATATTTATTATTCATTATACTTAATTTATATTATATCTCAATTTTTGATAATTATAGTATGTAAAAAAAGGTATATATAAGTACATTCATTATTTTATTATTATTAATTTAATATACTTATTTTGTAGAATTTTAATCGAATATTCTTTAATTGTCTAATGATTTTGTAAATTGTATTTAAATTTTAACTCTCAATATTTACATAATAATTATTATATATAATCTTTTCATTATCTTAATTTAATTTTATAAAAAAAAATCTGCTATATCTAAGTACAGCTAATTTATAACTCAGAATTTGTATAATATTTAATAGCATCTATGAAAATTTTTTAATTAATGTGAAATAATGTTCATAAATTAAAATTTAAAATATATTATTTGAAGATTTATTTGCTTGTATAATTTCGTACTTTATTAAAAATTTAATTTTTTCATATCTTAAAATAAATATTATTTACACGGTATATATCAAAATATTGTCATTTTGATATTAAATTTTTTTTAATAAATCATGTAACAGACGATACAAGCACGTATAACTATAATTATGAAATTTTTAATAGTATGTGAAATATAATTAAAAATTATTAATATGTATAATAATTTATAATTTAAATTTTATTAATTTTTCATTTTATTTGATATATTTATCAAATACGATAAATAAGATATATAACTTAATAATATATAACAAATAATAATATATAATATAATAATAAGTACAATATTATTTATATTATTAGTTTTATAAATAATACACTTTATTGTGAGTCCCTTTTATTGTTGTATAACATAAAATATTATGTCTAAATGTTATTGTTTCTTTTAAATATTATTTGTTTCATAAATTATATATTTTTAGTGCTAATTTTATGTATAAATTTTATTATAATAATATTTTATTATAATAATGATTTATTTAAATAAATATTTATATACACTTACTATTATATATTTTTGGTATCAAAGTCAAGTTAGCAATCATTAACATATTATTATGTAAATACAATGATAAATATAATTGAAATAAAATATACTTAGAAATATATTCAAAAGAATTGTTTACTAATGATCATTCCACTTTTGTTTATATAACACTATAAGAAATAGTTTTATAAATTGAAAGTTTTTAAAATTTAATTTAATTTTTTTTAATTAATAATAAATTGCGTACTATTTTAAGATAATATTTAATATTTAAAATAATAATAATAATTTTTATAATGCTCTTTTACTACTTCATGTAATATTTACTTTTTAATACTCCCAAAAGTTAGAAAATAGTACAATCTAAATGCTAAACACTATGTTTAATATAAATGAAAATACATATATTTACATATATCGATGGTGTATATTTTCAGATTGTTCTGAAAAAAAATAAAAATGTATAATAATAATACAGTAAATCCTTATTTTAGGATCCTAAACTTAGGACTTACTATATCAGTAGAATATATTTCCTTACTACTCTAAAAATTAAATTATCTTAAATAATTGAGCATTTATAACTAAATGATTAAAATTTTTTCACAGAATTCTTTTACTCAAGGAGGGTGGATGCTGGGTAGGTGCTCGTCTTGGTTTCAAGTGATTCCGAACGCGTACGTGTTAGTAATCCTTATGGTAGGTGAAGGCCGTCCATGCAATTACCCCGGCGAGATCCAAGGGTTGAAGGGCTGGCCGCGTCGCTGGAGTCAATCGACTACTAGTAATACATATATTTAGAAGCTAATAGAAGCAGTAAAATGACTGATAGAAATCGGAACCTTCTACACGATAGCATCATTAATTACCATGCACAACACCAACCGATTAAGTCAACTAATCAGCAACAACCTGCATGTACTCTAGTAAATAATAACGTCGCCGATGGTGATGGATTGGCAGTTCTCTCACCAATAATAAGAAAGGAAGGCTTATATGCTAAAAAAGAAAATAGTAATTACCAGAGATTCGTGAATTATACGAAGGATGCATCAGCGAAGAAATTGCAAAAAGAATCGAAGGAGATTTTGGTAAATCATTCACCAAATGAACAGAATATTGGAGGAAAGTATCAACTTAAAAGAGGATTAGCTCCTTTACTTAGTTGGAAAAATGGAAGTCCTACCTTATTTTCTAGTTCACCAGAAAATGTTACATCAAGTAATAAGTTAATGATAAAAGAAAATGAGTTAATATTAGCATCTGTCGCAGCATCAAAAACACTTTCTAAATCCTCAGACACTGATATAAATAATGAAAACATAGAGAATCTAAGTAGCATCATCGATGAGCGACGAGAAATTGTAAAGCGCGAAAGAATGACGAGAAATCTTGAGTCTTTTTCACAGAGCTCAGATTTATTACCAGTATTGCATCCAAACCTCCATGATAAGCATCTAAAGCAAACAAATTATAAATTAACGGCTACAATATATTCCGATAGTACTTTTATAACTCCTACAGAAATCTCCCAAACTACATTAAATTTCCATTCAAGTATTATGTCATCCAACAAAAATAATAAAGACTCTAATTATCAAAACAATAAATTGTCAAATGACAGAAATAATACTACAGACAACCGAGATCCAAGCATTGAAATAACTCAAGGAATTCTTGTAAAAAAACAATATTTAGAACATAACTCAAATACTATACCTAATTCTATAAGTCGTGAGAAAAATCAATTTGAAGACATGGATAAGGACTCAATAGATGGATCAGAGACCATGCTAGAAATCTACGATGATGATGATTCTGAGCATTCCAATAATAATTTGAAAAAGAAGCCAAAAATTCCGGATGGTGGTTGGGGTTGGGTTGTAGTTGTTTCATCTTTAGTCATATCAATGATAGCCGATGGTGTATCATTTAGCTTCGGCCTTCTTTATATTGAATTTCTTTATGAATTCGAGGCTTCCAAATCTACTACAGCTTGGATAGGTTCACTCTTCATGGCCGTGCCTTTACTTTCAGGACCTATAATGTCAGCATTGGTAGATCGCTATGGCTGTCGTAAAATGACTATAGCAGGTGGCATAATTTCAGGAACGGGTTTTGTATTGAGTAGTTATGCGCACAGCATCGGGGTAATGTATTTGACGTTCGGCGTGCTGGCAGGATTGGGTTTGGGTTTGTGTTACGTCACTGCGGTTGTGAGCATCGCGTTTTGGTTCGATAAGAAGCGTACCCTTGCGGTAGGTTTGGGTGCTTGTGGAACTGGAATAGGTACATTTGTTTATGCACCTATGACAACATATTTCATCGAGGAGTATGGATGGCGAGGCTGTGTTCTTCTGTTGTCAGGTACCTTCTTCAATATGATCGTTTGCGGTACCGTAATGAGAGATCCTGAATGGTGGATACAGGAGCAGAAGAAACAGCAGGGACTGCTGTCTCCGAAAAACTTTCAGGGTGGCGTCAGTGGTAGATCGCAGGACGGAGGCAGATCTCAAAATAGTCCTGTAGATGAAGACTTTCCCGGAGTGGAAGAGTTAAGAAAGCTAATGAAAAGCGGCAAAGCGCCAGAGTATCTTTTACAGAATCTTAGAACAATCACGGAAACGCGATATAGTCCTGGTGGTAACCCAGCTTTCAGAAGTGTCGTTAATTTACCAACATTCGTCAGACAGAGTGAAAAGGTACAAGTGAAGTAATGTTTTATAATTCATAGTCATTAATTCATCAAATTAAATGCACCTAAAAATGAATACAATTCACATTGTATATTTTATACAATTTTGAAATTATAATTTGTACTCTAGCTAAATTATTATATATGAATAAATTAAATAAATCTATTTACTGTAAATTTCAAAAATTATTCTTCTTAATGTATGAAATATCTTTTTTTCTAAAATTTGTAACTTCTATTTAATATAATAATTATGAAAGCGAAATATATATATATATATAGACACAAAAGTATATTTTTTGATAGCTTGTATAATTAAAACGAATACATTAATGTTTATTTTAATTTGTTATAAAATTTTAAAAATTCATTTGAAATTAAACTAGGCTTCTTTTATAAACTGCAACAATTAATTTATAAATCATTAAATTAATAAAAAATTCAGAAGAAATAAATAGAATGGTACATGACATATTGATAACAAATTTTTCTTTTAATATTATTTGTTTAAAAACTTATTTAAATAAATAAATATTATTTAAATAAATACTTAAACCTTTTTGTCTGTTGATACTTAATACAATTAAGTATATGCCTTTAAACTGTGAGTAGTAAATTTTTCTTCAAACTTTACATTAATCTTGAAAATTTATTATATTACATATCATAGTTTATAAATTAATTTTCATTTTCTTAAATATTGCATATTGTTAAATTTAAAAAAAAATTTACTATAAGCATTTTAGTTAAGTATTTAAGTTTCTTATTGCATTAAAAAAAATGTTATTACATAAAGATATGAATTTTAAGATTTTAACGATTATAAATATATAACATAAAACAATTTGATATAACTTTTGTTTCTAATATAGAATTTATATTAATTTTATATTTTGAAATTAATTTCATAAATTTTAATTGTACGTTCTTTAAATATAATTTTAACAAACTAATTATATTATTTATTTGGAATAAATGGAGTTTTAATGTAAAATTATATTTATTGAATCATTGACAACTGTAATGACATTATTTTATTTCGAGTAATGAATAATTTACAACAATTGATTATTGGAGGTACCGCTGGAAGTTCTGGAGTCATTGTCATCAAATTCACGACTGTACAACGTCATTCTCGAAAACTATCCGAGTCTATTGCTATGTAGGAGTGCATCGGATAAGAAACTAGATGAATCAAATGGGGATGTTAACAAAAGTGGTGTCACCATGTCAATGAGGTTACAGGACTGGTCTGATATCTGCAACTTGCACTTTATGAATTTTTTTATTTACGCTTATTATCAGCACATAACAATCATAGACATTTTATGTTTTAATGAAAATGCTAAATATTCTTTCTTTTCTTGTGTTACCAACGTTTTTTCAAAAAACTTTTTTTTTAATGAAATTAAAAAAATTAGACAAGATATGCATTGCAGAAAGAAAAAAATCATTTATTTAAAAACAATAATGTTGATAATGATAATTTATACGCTTTTAAAATTACTAAAATGACTAAATGACGTTAATAAAATGAAAAAATCTTTGTCATTTTAAATGTTAATAATGAAAAATATAAAATGGATTTTGTTTTTTACTTTTATTTTGCTTCTTTGAATATTGTATAAGTTTTGAATATAATCTCGTGTTTTTAGAAATAATCCAATTTTTCTAATATTTTCTAATTTAAATACTTAAATAATATGAAATTGAAGTTCCTATATAATTTAATAACAATTTATTTCTTGTAATTATCATAAATTTATGATCAATAGAAAATATTTCATATATTTTATTATAAATCATTATTATTGAAATATTGAGTTGAAATATTAAGTATGTATAATTATGTTTCTAATTGTGACAGAAAAATATTTTTCATTTTAAAAACTATGTAAAATTATTTTTTATTAAAATTTATATTTTACTAGCAGTAATTATTTTATAAGGTATAAGCTTTTTTGAGTTACTTAAATATAATAATTACAACCCAAAAATTTTCTCTTCAGAATATTTTCTAATTTTCTGTTAGGCTCAAACAAGCAAAGGAAAAAGGAAAGAAAAGTCAGTCTCGGCCCGGCTCAATTCATGCTTCAACCAAGATTCTCGCGGCAAGAAGAATGTCGAGAAAAGATCTAGAGGAAGCAAACCCCTTATTGGCTAAAGAAATTGCTAAGGCTGTAAGATCATATGTACATATATTATTTTATAATTGCGGTATTTTTTTTTACTATATTATTTAAATTTGATTAAGGCATTATTTTATATATTTTTAAATAGTGAGTGGTTAACTGATTCAAATAAGTAGATACAAATATAATGAAATCAGTAAATTGTATAATATATATTATGGTACAATATATATATACATATATATATGCGCGCGCGTGTGTGTATGTGTATTAATGAATGTAGAACATACTTTTACTACGTAATTTTCACTTGCAAATCGCCACAAAATAAATTTTTTATAAAATCAAAACTATTTTAGATTAGAATTATAATTTTTAATTTTTATTGTATTTCACTGAAAGAATAAAATTATAATATATAAAATTAAATACATTAATATTATGTAAAATAGTTTTATGTAAAGTTGAAAATAAATTTTTTCAAATTTATTATATATTATATTATATGTAAAAAATGATTATATAATATTTTAATGAAACATGTAACTTGTAAAAATCACAAAAATTTCCTAATTAGTTTGTAAAAATTCTAAAATTTAAGTGTATTATTTCAGATTTTACCATAAACTTTGAATTATACCAGATTATTTTTTGTAGATAAATTTTCATGGAGTATTTGCGAATATATATTATCATGGTATATATTTGGATTTCAAATTAAAACAGTAATACTTGGATTATCTTGGAACTGGAGATAAATCAAAAGAAAAACTTTATGAAAAATTCAAATCCAATTAAATAGTATTGTTTCTGACAGATTGCCGATGCTGAGAGGGCAAAGTCCGTATCCAGATACCACCTTCCAGGATGCGCTACCGGTGTCGTGCGCACAGACTCTTTACCATGGCTGCGCCGTCAATTTAGCACAAACACACATTATTTTAAGGATATACGAGTGCATCGCAATTCTGTCATGTACAGGGGTGCGGTATTGAATTTGCATAAGTACAGACTGAGGGCAAGCAGTTGCCCCAACATTTATAGAAATAGCATGACTACGCTTGCCAAAGAGAATGAGGAGGTAGGACATCAGATTGACATATTCGATATTTTTTCATCACCGTTAACATACTTTACATATAATTAATTCAGACAAATTAGTAGTTTGATATCATCACACTACGATATTTATTATTCTTGATTATTCAATTCTTATTAGATGTGACTAATGCGATATTTTTTTCGTGCTAATAAAGCATATACATGCTTCTATTACAATCCAAATTGTAATTTCAATCAAACTTTGCTTGTTGAATAATACTAATTTCATTTTACTAATTTAATGATAATATCAATAAATTCTTTGAAAATTCATAAAATTTCTGTAAAAATCGATAACTGATTATTTTAAACGCTTATTATTATTTAAATACCATTAATCGGAAAAAATAAACTTAAATGTAGACAAAATTATTTACAAATACTTTTATTTAATTAAATTAATTAATTTATTTATAAAAATTGTTATTATATCTTATAATTTCTTATTCAAAGTGGAAATCATATAAAAAATATAATACTAGATTTAATTTTTATTAGTTATATATATAGTGTTATGTATATAGTTAATAGCACATATATAGTGTTATCTAATATGCTATTATATAAAATGATAAAAATTTAAATATCAAACATTAATTGTATCAATTAGGTAGTTTAAACATAAAGATATTCTTTCGAATAATTAAATTATTCTGTAGCCAATATCCAAATTTAAAATAAAAAAAAACAAAAAAATTACGCACTACAACATAAAGTTCGTTAATTATTATTGTAAAAAAATGTTTAAATATTTAATTCTAGTATTAAAAACTATAATAAATGTAATAACTAATAATTATATATTTAGCATAATATAATCTCATTTTATAATAATTCGATAAAAAATTGGCAGAAATATATTTCATAAATATATAATTTCAATTGCATGTATTTGCAATAAAATAAAAATAATTCTTTACAATAATTAGAAATACTTATAAAAGGTACAATTAGGTATTTTTTTTATTTAAGTATTTTAAGTGATTTATCATTTTAAAATTATGCATAAATTAATGGTTGCAGGTATATCATATTCATATATTAAAATATTACTCATTTGACTTCATTTTATAATTTATTATAATTTATTATAATTATTTATTTTATAAGAAAATGCATCTGTTTCTTGTTTGAATTATTTTGAAAATGATTTGTAGAAAAAAATTATATTCTACCATACTTGAAGCTAAGTTTGGCTAAAATTATTTAGCTGCATTTTATAATCTTTATATTTGATAGTAGTGCTTGTCTACTTTTTAAATTAATTACGTAACTTTTTCTCATGTAGAAATGGTACAGCGAACTAGTTGATTTGCTGAAAGGTATGATGGACTTCTCAATGTTCTCAGAACTTCACTTCTTGCTGTTATCCTTATCGACAATTCTCCTGTTTACTTGGTTTATCGTGCCTTATTTTTATCTTGCCGAGCATTTAACTAGACAGGGGTATCCTGAATCTAAGGCAGCGAATCTCTTAAGCTATATCGGCATTACGAATACAATAGGAATGGTAAAATAAAACATTATTTTTAAAATATTAGTAAATTTAATAAAAAGTAAATCACTAGTAATTTGGTGTACACTATTAATTTTATAAAAAGGAATATAAAAAAAATTTTAAAATAGATAAAATAAGTATAGCTTTATTATAAATAGTAGATCCGATAATATTAATATTGTCACGCAAAACAATATTAATCTTTTAGAATATTAATTTTTAGTACAATAGAAGATGTATATTTATAATTATTAATATATAAATAATTATTATTTGAACTCATTTTCATAGTAATTTCATATTTCATATCAATAATCCTCAATTTCAATATATCTTCTTTTTTAGAAATATTAAATTTAAGTAGTATTAATTTCCTAATAATTTTATTTTCACAATTCAAATTTATATTTAAATAAATCGTCTACTAACAAAAATTTATTAACAAAACAAATAACTTATAAATACTTTTTTTTAATCCTTGAAGAAATATAACACAATTTTATTATAATTAATATATTGAATTTGCCAATTTAAATAAATAAAATATATATTTCCATAGATTGGACTTGGCTGGGCAGGAGATCAACCATGGATGAATGTTACCAAAACATATACTTGTTGCTTAATTGCTTGCGGTATCTCAACTATTCTAATGCCCATTTTTACACACCATCATTACGCGTTAGTCGTAACTTCTTGCTGTTTTGGCCTTTTCTTTGCCAGCAACTTCAGTTTTACACCCGTCATCCTCGTAGAAATCATCCCCCTTGAACGCTTCACAACTGCTTACGGGCTTAGTCTGCTATGTCAAGGTATCGGTAATCTTCTGGGTCCACCATTAGCTGGTTGGATCTTTGATGTAACCGGCAGATGGGATCTGTCATTTATAATGGCAGGTGGCTGGATTATTGTTTCGGGTTTACTTATGGGTATAATACCCTATACTAAGAATAGAAAAATCTGGGGCAGCGGACCCGTGGAGATTGAGCGCGAAAGGGAATGCGCTTGATATGATTGATATGATTTATTGATATGAATGCACCTTGAATAGATCCTTAATTTATTTATTAGTCTTTTTTAACTGTTTCATACAATGAAAATTTCAAATATCAATGTTAAATATGAAAAATAATTATTCAAATATATATTTATTTTTCAACACAAAAATATCCTTTTTCTAATGGAATATTATTTCACGATTGAACTGTACACAATTCGATGTTTGTCGATTTCCGTACACATTTTACGATTTTATATTTTTGAGGTTTGATCATACGTTTGCAAGTTCGTGCATTTTAAATATGTTACATGATAAAATATTCTGAAGATATTGAATTTACGATTGTTTAATTGATTTCATGCTTACGTGAAATATTACTAAAACATTTAAAGATAGTTTTCTACATTTATATATCTATAATTTTCCTTATATTTAAACATGCATACATTTCATTAATATTAAAATTAGTAATAGTTTAGTAGATTTATTAAGTTAAAGAAACTACAGTATTTTCACTAAAATTGAGAAATCGCTCGATTTAAGTTCTTATACTACAAGTTGTGGTAATCAAAATTAAAAAAAAAGACTTCGCTTTAGTTAAAACGAGTATGTATGATGTACAATTAGAGTATTTCAAAATGTATTTGAGAATATAGCTGCAATTTTTTCATTGCAATTTTTAATAGAAAATTGATCTTGAATAAAAAAATTGATTTGATAAAGATTTTTAAAAATAATTCTTTTAAATACATTCATAGCTTTAATAAATTATACTTTATAAATTAAATTTAATAAATGCATTAATCTTTAGTAAATGTATATTTCTAATATTGATTACCATATAGATTAAATATATTTATATTTTCTTATATAATTATTGTAGTATTAGAATATAAAAAAGATTTACTATATTATAACATCAAATTTCCAGTATATTTTTAATATGTTACATCTTTATTAGTTATTTATATTAATAAAAATACTTAGAATTCACCGATTATATATTGAAAATATTATACATAACTTGATTTAGAAATTTTCTTAAAATATATCTTAAAATAATAATTGTTTTTAATACACATTAATATTATTGGAAAAGAGATTATATTAATTTTTATTGTTATGTAGATAGTGAAATATTTTTCTAAGAGATTAAAGGTGTAATGAAGGAAGATATTACCTTATGGCATACTTAAGTTTTTAATAATTTATATCGATTATCTCATTAAATTTGTCTTTAATAGAAAGATTTACTTATAAGGATAATTTTAAATAATAAAAATAATTTCATTTTACAAAGGTTATCACATTTTCTAACTAATATTATTATAGAACAAAAATAATTGAATACATACAAAATCTTGTGTAAAAATTTTGAAAAGAAATGGAATAAGTAAAATTTAAACATTTTATTATAATTTAACTTAGAACAATACACAAAAGATTTGTATTTATATAAAAAATTAAATAATATAAAATAAATTTTAAAAAGTAATTATTACTACAAAAGATACATGAAAAAATATTAATGTTTTAAAATACATCATTTAAAAACTATATAAATTAGACAATTTAAAAAAATTATCATATGTGAATATTATATTTAATTATTAAAAATAAAATATATATAACAATTAGTTGACGTGAATACCGTTTAATTAAAAATTTGTAGTATTCTTTAATTAAATAAATTTGACTAAATTTATTATAATATAAATTGATTGCAATATCATGTATTTTTAAAGATTATTTAATACAATTTTTTAAATACTTTATTAATCATATAATTTTTCTACAAATGTTTATAGACTGAATAAAAATTCACTCTATTATTTTTTAATATAAAAACTAAATGGCATCTTAAGTTAAAAATACTTATTACGTTAAAAATGTCTTATAAAAAATATAAATTTTTTTAATTTTATATGAATATTTCTAAAATTTATTTGTCGATATTCTTATATACACGAATTAAAATAATTTTTAAAAGTATTAGACAACTTTACATAGTAAATTTAAATACTAGTTTTTGTTATTTGTATTAAATTTTTTTTTTCTTATAATATATTTTCGATAATGAAGAAACTTTAAAAAAATAATATCTAATAGAAAACTATGATGAATGTTATTTCGTAATATTATGGAAATGTATACTTATATTAAAATACTAAGTGTGTTAATTGCCTGCTGTATATAAAAATTAAATTCATGAAATGTGTGTATTATTTTATCATTACATTGATATTGTTCTGTTTTTTTTAATATTAAGCACGAATAGAAGTATAATGTAAAATGCAAATATTGTATTGAATGAAAATTTCACTTTTAATTATTTATAATTAATTTCCTTTACTGTATAATTTTTTAATGTCAAATTTAAAATGTGTATTATTTTTTAGTTTTTATCCCAGAATTTTGAAAATATTAAATTTTTTTATGCTTCTGTACATTTGAAATCGTAAAGTTTTTTATGTTTTAAATTCATAAATTTTAAAAAGTGAAATTAGCTTTTTTACAAAGTATATTTTTAAAAATTAGATGTATACAATTTTTCTCATGTACATAGGTGAACAAAACAGGGACTTTATTACATGTTTTTATCGTATTATTAAATACAGTTGATTTTAATTTAAAATATTAAAAGAAAAAGAATAAATAAATTTATTTTTATAACATGGGATTCTAATAAATTTTGATCCAGAAATGTAAACAAATGAAGAAATAAAAATTAACAAGTAGTTAACTATGATAAATTTTGATTATGAACATTATAGTTATAGAAAATATCTATTATATAATTAATTAAAGAAAAATAAGCAAAAGGTAATAATAATATAACATCGCCTCTTAATAAAAGAAAACCATATATGATATAATGATAAGCGGTTAACCTGTAATCAATTGTAAAAAATAAAAATTATATGATTAAGTATCAAATGAATATATAATAAAAAGATAATATTGTACGTGAATAACAATACAATAGTCTTAACAAAGATTAATAAATACGAAAGAGGGTAATTTGCATAACAAGTACAAATATGTATTATTATGTAACAAATGTTATGTCGATATGTCTCGAATAATTTGTTGTTGATGCTTTACTTAAATAGAATGGACTTTATAAATGGTTAAAGTAAAACATTATACAATCTGTTTTCTGATTTTTTGAAAATAACCTCTACAAGTGATTCTTCTACGAAACTAAAAAAACTAAAAGTATTAATTAAAAAAATAATAAACATATGTTATCATACAAAAATATATAAGTAGCTATCATATTTAAATATATTTGTATAGTATATTGTCTGATAAAATTCTACTTTTAATTTTGACGCATTATTTATTTAAAGAAAATTGAATTTTAACACAATAGAATTCAATTTTTAATTAATCTAAAGTGGATTACTTTATGAAAAAAGAATATTGAATTTTATATTTTAATTGCAATATTTATAATGAAATTTAGTTTTTAAAATAGATAAATGTAATAATATAACATTCTTATTTTAAACCCCTAAAATGTATGAAATTTAGGTGCTAGACTTTTATTTATATGCGTATTTTTCTATTATGTATTTATAACAACTTGAATTTGACTCTTTATAAATCTATAATGTAAGTCATGTTTAAATGATATGTAATAGTTTTATTTAATTTTATTTTTAGTTTAAATATTTACTACTTGTCTTTATAATATACTTATGTTGATTATTAATACATACAATCAGTGATTGATTTAAAATTAAATTCATGAAGCTTGAATAAAAGAACAAAGCATTTATTTATAGATTAATTAGTAATATAATTGATTAATAAATGATTACGTATTTATATATTATTATGATTAACTTTACGATGATTATATGAAATAAATAATATAATAATTAAATTTCAATAAAAAATTTTTCTTTTTAAAAGTGGTGAATAATAAAATTATTATTATTTATATAATTATGTATTACCAAAATATTTATCTATGTTATAGGTTTATTATAATAAAATATAAGAAAATTATTTTCGTAAACTAAACCTACAAATAATAATTTATAATAGAAATGTATTAAATAAAAGATTTTATAGTAGATAAAACAAATAATAATTGGTAATGTGACATATATTTTATATAATTAGTATAATTTATTGAATATATAAATCATTATAATTTTATCAGCAGTCAGATATTTATTTTAAAATATATAAGTTATAGTAGAAGATATTTTATCTTAAAGCATATATATGATGTAATTCGTCTAACAAATATATTTAAATATGTTTCACCACAATTATAAATATTTTTTTTATGAAAAAATAAAAAAAAAATGAAAAATATAATCGAGAAAGATTTCATGTGCACGCAAGTACACTTATTTTTATTAGTTTAAATTTGTTTATACATAAATAGAGACAAATCGTTGAACGATTTTTTAAATTAGTTTTGTTATTAGAAATAACATAATATCTAACGTACTTTGGACTATTGCAACTGGGAATTTCTACTATATTTTTTAAAGAATCAATGAGAAAATATTATGTTAAATAGGTATATGCATAAAAATAAAAATTCTCGGTTTCTAATTAGATAAAATCATTATACGCAATATAACTTTATGAAAATTCAAATATAAAAATGATAAGGTATTCAGAAAAACTTGGGATTTTTATGAACTCAAGTATTGTTTACCCAATAGCTTTACATTTTATTGATCAAAAAATATTATTACAAAAAAAATTATTATATAATAATATCAATAGTATTTAATAGGAAAAAAAATATAAAGAGATTTTTTTACTCTGTTTAATTTATAAAAATGAAATTATAAAGTTAAAATAATAATGTTAACAAATTTTTCGAGTTGTACAATATGGGAAAATTATCGAAAATTCATTAAAGACTACGAATTTTTGTATACAAACAATCCGTACTTGTACGGCTAAAATCTAGAATGTTACCTAGTATTAAACCGATATGCGCTTATAATATGTAAACTTTAGATATGAATAACTAACGATTTGAAACAAAATTTTTAAATGTATTTTGACTGATTATTTTTTATAATATTAAAAATGATTTATTGCTTTAATTGATTTTCTGATTTTATATATATGATCTTACAATACAATAATTTACATATTCTTAATTTTTCTCTATATTTATAACTCTAAAAATTAATCAAAAATTGATAAACGTATGGTATAAATTATTCTTCGTATACAATTTATTAAAGATTAATAATATAAATTTAATAATAAACTTAACTCAAATAAAACATCAGCTTTATTTATTTATGACGATTAATAGCAGACGTATTTAATTTTTTTCAAAACTATCATTTTGTCAATCATTAAAAAGCATTCATGTCTAATGAAATTATTTAACTATATCTTTGACCATTAATATTCTATGTTTCCAAATGTTTTTGTAACCTATTGGTAGATAAAACAGATGATAATAAAGTAAGTAAAAAAATCACATAATAAAGTAATATTTTGCAAAACATGCATTTAAAACATAATGTATATATTTCTTAAATGAATAATCAAAATTATAAATTATGAACTGACTAATTCAATCTAATAATTTTATTAACAATTGTATAGATATTATACATGTACATTTTATATTATACATATTATACATATACATGTACATCATTACAAGAATTATTAACAATAGTATATTATTTCTATAGAATCATTTATAAATGAAATATGATTTTTTTAATTAAAAATATATGCATATTTATTAGAAAACTTTTAATTCATACTTGTTATTAAATATGTCATTTGTAAAATAAAATAGAAGCAAAATGTTTGATATAACTTTTATTATCATTATGAACTATGGGTTTTGTAATTTTCTAATTCTATGTTTATTTTGTATAAAACTGTAGACAATGTTTTTGGCTTGAGTAAAGTTATTAATGTTATAAATATATATAACAAATATAAATGAAAAAATAAAATAATATAATATTATAAATATTATAAATAAAATAATATAATAATATAATATTATAAATTACTTAATAATTTAGTTACATAATATTTAAAAAATAACTTTTATTAATAGAATATAATAATATTGACTTTGAATTTTATTTTTAATAGAATTTGTAATATATTTTATGTATATAAAAAATTAAATATACTTAAAAATAAAAAACTTCATTATATATATGCATTTCATAATTCTTTTGAAATTGCATTTTACTTCTCATATTACAATAGATAAATAAATATTTGTTAAAAATTATTGTTTAATTCTATTTATTGCAGCAATTTGAAAAGTTATAGTTATATCAGATTTATAGTTCAAATATTGATCAACTGGAAGGAAATGTAAATAAACATGAAATTAATATTTTTCTTATAATGTATAAAATATTGTATTTAATGATCAGTTAAGTTAGTTAACTATCAAATCCAAAGTAAATGCGTAATTTAAATTTATTATTTACAAAGAATAATGATTTTTAAGATAAGTATTTATTTTATAACTTAATCTTTATTATTATTAATTTTGTATTTTTTGGCTTAGCAAATAATAGTGCATTGTGATTCAAAGTAATAAAATATTATTTGCTTTTAAAAAATTTAAACAATCGTTTTTTATATTTCATTTGGCATTGTTGGGAGGAGTGAATTTATTCAAATAAATTATACATAATATTATTCACGCTCTAAAGAATTTATAAACTATATATATAAATGGTTTGAAAACGGTTATTTGTCACAAAGAGTGTATGTTAAGTTCATTAAATAACATTGAAAATTTTAATTTCTTCAAATTAATGAGAATAAGAATATATTTAAAAAAGTATATTCAATTATCTTTAAATTTTTCTCCGTGTTGATAAACCCGGTTTAATATTGTTTGAAATTTATTTAAACGTAAAAGAAAAAAATTATATATTGTGTAAATAATAAAAAATTTATCGTTCAATTATTTTAATATATAAAACATAAAATTGTTGATAGAAACTTAAAGAGATAGTTTTATTTTCTTTTTATTTTAATAAGTTTTGTGTTTAGTTTAAGTTTATTTTTTATTGACGTAATAATAATAATTTGACGAAAACTTAGCATATAAAGTGAAAATCATAAACTATATTTTATTTAAGATTTTAGTATAGATGTACTCAATAAAGTTTCATAACTGTGTATTACAGTGTTTTATTAATTTATTTAAATATCCAAAAAGATGAAAAGCATTCGATTCCTCGAGTTTGTTCTTTCGTGATATGTTGGCCGTTCACATGTCGGTTTTCCTTTACCATTGAGAAGAGTAATAGCCCAATTTTCAGTAGCTAGAAGAGGTAACGCTACTCGATACATAAGTATTGGAACTTCTGCTACTTGGTGTTGATAACCCCAGGCTTTGGGCCAGTTTTTCAAGACTGGCGGGAAAGCCACGAGTTATCGCTGCATGTTGAGGTCCAATTATCGCATCGCCCATTACACCTAATCGTACCGTTTTTCCATGCCTATGTAAAGTTATTGATAAATCTGAAATAATCATAAATTTTTTTCTATTTATAAGAAATTATTAATTTGAGCACAATCGATATGACAGAAAATAACTTACTGCAATTTCCCTGTGGTGGCTTCCAAAAAATAGCCGATTGTAACCCTTCAACTGGTAAGTCCCCATCTACATGTGTTATTGATATTGAGTATCGTCTTGTAAGATGATTTAAAACTATTTTTAAAAGTATTGATGGTAAACATGATGTTAGAAATCCTGAAGCCGTTTCCGCAGCAGTTATAGCGTAAATTGCTCGTTGCTTTCTCCTTGCTTCTTCGACATTCCTCTGAACAATCTCCACAAATTTATAAAAGAAGATTCATTTACTAGAGAATATATATATATGGTGAATTTTAGTTTCTATTATTTAATCAGATATTCATGACATTTTAAGCCCTATTAATATGACTGTAAAGATATATAAATAATAAATTTCTTATGGATGTAGCCTAAAAAATATAACAGACCTATATGATCTGTGCAAATTTTATATAGTTTTAAATGCTTTTTTAATATAAAATTTTTAAATTCAATATAAGTTTTTTTCTTATATCCAGAAATACAATTATTCTTCAAATTTTTATTTATATTAATTTTTTGCTATCAAAACGAAGTTCATTATATACTCTAAATTATTTCATTACTTATATATTTACTAATATATTTGATATAGCTTAATTTTCATATATTTCTTGTTTGCATTTATATGAATTTGTCTCGACTTATTATTTCTTTTTATCCTTTTTTAATTGATTCAACTAAACTACTTTTAATAATTCTGACACTTAATAAACCAGCAGTATATGAATGCAAAATAATTATATTAAGAATATAATTTTTTTATATATACACAAGAATGAAACAAGTATATTCTGAGAGTCTTAAAAGAAGAAAAATTTATCTTCATATGACATAGATCTATAGGATCATACAAATTACAATCATGATATAGGCATCTTTGTATTCTTGTCTATTCTCTACAATTTATAATATTTTTTAATAAATGGTCTTTACAGGTCCTTTTCAGTACTATTCTATTAAAAATATAATAAAACAATAATAAAAATACTGTATTCATTTTATAATATTTATAAATGTAAGAATGTAAAATAAAATTATCATTACATAAAATTATAAAATAATTTTATGATTTGATCTTGTTTTGTATATTATTTTATATTTATTTTTATATTTTAATTAATAAAATAATTTTATATCCTATTGTTTACACTAAACTATTGTTTACACTAAAAATTTCATTAATGTTACCTGAAGTATTCCTATTAGATTATTAGATTCTTTCAATAATGGTGTTTTTGTAGGTAAGGCGAGACACAGTAAGCCTGTAGCATCAGAGTCACTCACGTACAGTGTTTTCTGACTGGTGAAATTGGCAGTAGCCAATATCTCGTTGGGTATTGACTGTCCGGAATACCTATCGTTTGATTGTATTTATATGTAAAATATTATTGATATTATCGGTAATTAAAGTATACATAATTTATAATTTTTAAATTTTATTATAAATAATAATCATTTTTTCAAGATTATAACGGATCAAGATATTATCTATCAAATAATATAAAGCAAAAAGGTATGTGAGCAATTTGATGTGACTGACCAAAAAGGTATATGACCGACCAAAACAAATTCATTGATCAATATAATAGAATACTTACTCAATACTTTAAAACATATTCGTACTAGAATTTGGTTGATAGTTTAGTTAAAATGGATTGAATTTTTACAAAGTCTCTTAATTTGGCCTTTATCTTTATAATAGTATATAAGATAAAAATGACCTGTTGTCAAATTAGTATTTGAATACTACAGTGAATATAATTAAATTTTATTTTTAGTGTTAACGAATAGAATTTACCTGAAATACTCTTTTAAAGAATCAACAGCTGCGGCAAGGAGATTCTCAGTAACGCTAGCACCATTTAATGTTGACATTTTTTGTAAAAAAGCGATTTCGATTTCTTCAGACCAGGCTACTACCTTACGTCCACTTTGAGAAACAGTTCGAAAATTAGCGTTATCTCGATTGCTAAATAATTCTCTTACAATAGCGAATGGCGCATTTACAATGATCACCAAAATTGAGATCACCTCTAGACTTGCCTGTAATATGTACAGCTAGTAATAATTATACCCAGGAAAAGATACAACAATAAATATCATTTGGAATGAAAAAAGGATACTTCACATAAATATTTGTAAATATATTAAATAAATTATGCATTTGTTTTATGAAAAGGATCTCTTCCATTTTTTTTATCAACAAAATATAAATATCTACAGAATATATTATTTTAAATCAAGTAAAAGATGTAAATTATCGTTTCTATATTTTCTTGTATAATTTACATAAATGTGCAGATTATAGACATTTATTTTTAATAATATAAGTCATTGTCTATTTATAGACCTAAATAATTATGTTTAAATAATTGCCAACGGGTCTACTAGCACAAATACTTTTTAGTGTTTAATCGTGAATATTATTTTTTCTAAACTAATCTTCAATAAATGAGAAAATTATTTGTAAGGTAATATAAAGAAAAAAAGCCAAGTTCACCCTGAATAATAATGGTAGATAATAGGACAGAGTTGATACAACACTGTCAGAGTAGTAGTTATGCTTGTGAAGTAGAATGGCTGTCCGAATTTCTCGCCACAACATAATTGGAGCCTTAATGCTGGCACTGATCAGAAAGTACCAGATCCAAGTGATTATTAGACGCAGATTTTCAATGGGATTGAGAAGATTGAAGAGAGCATTGAAGACCACCGACCAACTGAAGTTGCGCTTCTGCGCTTCATGCTCGTACATCTGCCACAATTCTCGTAAGCGTAGACTTTCCTTTCGTTTATATTGTCTGCGTAAAATTATTGATATACTAATTGATGGATTTAAAGATTTTAAGGCAAGATACCTTCAATTTTTAGTATTTCATAAATGTGATTAAAATAATATCAAAATTAATTTGTTAAATTCAATCTACAGATATCTAAATTTATTATAAGTTTATTGTAAGTATTTTATTATAATTCATTAAAAGTTTAAAATATTATTTTAGATGACTGAATTTATTTATGTTAAATTTTCATAAAATATTTTCAAGCAAACAAAAAATATTTTTTTTCTTTAAAATGTTAAGTACTTTATTATTATTCAAATATTGTAATACCAATTTAGAATTTATTTCGTCATTAACAAAAAGATTTTTTCAATAAATTAATTGATTTTTTTAATACTATTTTTAAATTTTCAGATTTTTAGTCCAAGGACGTCAAAAATAATCACCAAGCAACCTCAAGCTGAAAAATAATTGTATTATTGTTTATAAAAACGTAATTCTAAATACTTGAAATTTAAATATTCAAAATCCTTTTAAGCTGTATATTTTAGAATCATTTCTAGAATACTGTACACTTTGTAAGCTGATACCTAGATGAATTTAAATAATTGAATTCATTAATTTACTTAAGATTATTATAATATTTTTCAAATAAAATTTTCTAAAAAAACATGTATATATTTATAAATTATAAAATAGTTGGAAACTAATTGAATATGTATATTCTAAGTAAGTTAATGTTTTTAATAAATATTTTCAATTATTTTAATATTAATACTTGGATGAACTATGCTGTTATTTTGACAGTAATTGAAATTAAACAAGTATGTATTTCATTACATAAATGCAAAATAAAATTTATCAATTATTAATATTTTTTAATTTTTTTAAACAATTCCAATAGTCATGTATTCAACAAATAATTAATATTTATATAAATATATCACTTTATTATAGTAACTAATAGGAAATATGTCTTGTAGGTAAATAAAAATACCTAATAAATTCTTTGAGCGTAGAGAAACATACGATTACAGTAATTTTTGCACAATGCCATAGAGTAATCCTTTTTTTTAGTATCTCAGTCCGTTCGATTGGATCATTGTTACATAAGAACTCATTCCATACGTTACTGAAGTTTTCTGCGAGTTCCTCTTGAAGGCGTGGAAGAGCAGAGATTTCAGCATAAATACTAGTAAATGGTGAGCCAAGAATGGGCTCACGGGTGTCCGCACATAACCAATGGGTGTGATTTAATGGTAGAAAGTCGCCGAGGACAAGATGCGCCTGGTGCAGCAATAAATGGTGTACCCGCACCAAATAGTGACGGTTCAACTGTTGGTCTCGACCAATCACCTGGACTTGCCATGGCGAATGACTGGCTGCAAGGTACTTGGATGTTAGATCGCTCACGTACTCCTGTGCAGTACAAAATACTCTGTATTAGCATAGAGCATACCGTTTTAAATAGATTTAAAGAAAAATATTTAAACACGATATTTCAGATGTTAAATTAAAAAGCTTGGAATAATTAAAGTTATTGATTGTAATAAATTCGATTATGAAATCTTAAGTATAATTTTTACGGATACTATATAAGCTCAATAATTGTTAAAAATTATAATTCAAGTACAATAATAGAAAATATTATGTAAAAGTATTTAATTGCATTTTAAGTGTTAAATGAAACTATCGAAATTATAAATTAAGGTAGTTATTATTAATTTATATAGAAAAAAGAATTGATTTATTACTATTGATGTTACATGTCAATAGAGATAAGATAATAAACTTAATCAAAAAATAATTTTAAACATGTCAAATGTAATAAGTCATATATTTAATCAATAATTAGACTTTATTCAATTTTTTATCTTGAACAAATACAAAATAATTAAAATTAACTGCTAATAATCCTCGTGGTGATTTAAAATATATATTTATGTTTAAATTTGTTTATTAGAAGACAATAGTACACAATGTAGAAAAAATCAGATTGAATATATTTTTAATGGTTACATACAAATATAAAATATTATAAATTCATTTATTTTTTTGAACTAAACAATTTCTGATATTTGAAAAACGTATACCTGTACATTGGATTCAGTAATTGGTCGACCCTTGAAAGAATTTGACGAAACGATTAAATGATTGTCTACAGAGAAATTTTCAAGCTTCTCCCATGCATATCGATAGCACTTGGTAGTTAAGGCCATACGGAGTAATGGCTTGGTTGAAGCCAGGTGAACCAAATGATTTCTAAGATGTTCCGTAACCAATGACGGACATTCCACCAGCAATGTATAAATGCCCTAATATTAAACTCAACATATTCTGTTACAACTTAATGTTTTAATTTCATATAGAAAAAATTTGAAATTTTGCTAAATAAAAATCCTTAAATACATTTATTTAAAAAATGGTCGAAAATTTTAAATATTTTTCTTTGACTAAATAGATTCGTGTATATAGGTGGAAATATATTTAGCTGTTGATCTCGTTATCAAATAATGAATATGCTTATATGTACTGCGTCTGAGTTTTTAAATTACTTTATATAAGTATAGTAGAATGGAGTGCATTTAATATAAAAATCTTTATTTATCGGTAAAATGTGCGATGTAAAATCATATATTTTAGAAAATTATACAAAATTTATCGACAAGCTGAATCTAATTACTTAAAACTTAAAATATAAAATATAATGCCCAAAAATATTAAGTAATATTTTATTTTTTAATAATACTTTTCTTTAGTTTCCAGCGTAAAATTTTAAATTAATTAATTCTAGTAACTATAGTAAGTATAGTATATAATAATGGTATATTTTAATGTAATAGGAACAATTTAATAATTATTTTTGTGAATTTTATAAATAAAATAGATAAATAATATTATTGTAAACTCATGCTTTTAAATAACTTAGAATTCAAATTTTTAAAAGGTTTCATCAGCATATGTATGAAATAGAAATGTCATAGTCAAAACCAGAAAAATATGTTGATTCGTAGACATAGTTTCAATCTCACAGTTAATCTAAAATAAAAAATCGATTAATACCAACATATATATTTATGGTATTTATTTAAATGAAAATCATTTATCAATACAGTAAACATTTAACTTAAAAATACTAATGTTTACAATATTATTATCAATTTAAACATTTTAATATAATTTAGAAGAACGATTGTTATGCATTTTTCACAGAAGTAGATAAAATAAAAAACGGATTAGTATTCAATTTTTCTTATGCTTTTTAAAACAACATTATTATACTTACAATTTTTCAGCTTTACCTTGTTCTATTTCTGACATATATATTTGTAAAGTCAGTTTATCGCTAAATAAATCAATATCTAATAATCTTACAAACTTAATATCTACTTTCAATAAAGTTAAAATATTATAAAGTTATATCATAGACTCTACCTTTGCAATTTCATTTTGATAAATTGACACATTTGCTGGCCATACTATACTCGAAACTTTTAAATAATACGTTAATTATATGATTTTACTATTTATTTCTAACATAAATAAGAAACTATATTGTAAATAAGTAGATTATATTAAAATAACTATTTTATTTTATGCTAAAATTAAAACATCTGTTATAAACAAATATATAAACAGTGATTTCGTGTTCTATAATTTCAATCTTAAAACAATGTTACTTATATACCGAACAAATTTTATATAAACATATTATTACAGCTTTCTTTATTTTATCATTATATGCAAAACAGTGAATATTGAATTTCCAGACTTTATCAATTTTATAAGGGACTGTTGATAAGAATTGATCAATTTTCTATTGCTCTTTTCTTTCTCCATAGCATTTTAAAATTACAAATATATGATTTAAAATTAACCGTGTGATCGCGTTTCTACAATGACGCATATGCTTATCAATATTGTTTGTATTATGTATCGATTCTATTTATAGTATAAATATTAGTCTAAAATATAAAAGATAGTCTAAAAATCACTATTTGTTGTTTAAGAATTAAAATGACACCTCAGAAAAAGTATAAGAGCAGTCATTAGATACAGTTAAATTATATATATTATTACAATTATATGTCAATATTATTAATAAATATATATCAATATTATTAATGAAATACATATATCAAATAATAATGCAAATTACATATTATAAAAATCAAATTTAAATAAAATTCGAAGATATTTTATTATGTTGCATGTAAATTTATAAAATAATTTATTAAGATATAGTATAAAAATTTGTTTAAATGTTATGTATTAATAAATACTAAAATTACATTTAAATACAATTATTTTAGTATAGCCTATATAAGATTAAAATAAATTTTTGAACTATTTAATTATTTGAGTAGTTATTTTTTAGCTTATATCAGTGTTACAGATACCATATTTTGTCAAGCAAAGAGTATATCATAGTTCATTTCAATTTTAATATTAAATTTTGATAAATAATCACAAATACTAAGTTTTAAGTATGTAATTTGAGTTTGGTAAGAAATTTTTATTCTAATTTTAAAATAAAAAGTCATATTTCATACGAAGTATTTAAAAAATGATTTTAATAATGTTATTTTTATATATTTGGATTTACAGTTATATTATGATTTTTAGTTTCTTAAATGTGTATTAAAAAATTTAATTACTTGATTTCGGCCTTGATCTAGTATACTTCTTGTGTTACTTTCTTCAACTATAATGCAATTTGGATATTTCCATTTGATAAATCGTACCCAGCATCTTTTTGACCACTGACAAACTATTTGTGTTGATAACCATTATTTTCATAATTTTGTTCTATTAAATTATTGTATAAAATTCTTTATTTATTTAAATTTCGGTTTTTTACAATTTTAGATTTAGTAAATCGTTTAATAAAATATATTTTAACATAAAATATACATAAATTAATAAACTATTTGTTTTAATTCATACTATTATTATGCTGCCATAAATTTGTTTTTCTTTAATTTTAAATTTAATATTTTAAATTAATAAAAAAAATTTTAATATTCGTAATTATACACTAAGTATTTATTATTATTCCAAAATAAGACTTCCGAGTTTATGTGGTTTATTAATAAATAATATTTGAGTAACAATAATTTGATAATTAAATTTAAATAAATTTCATCAATAACGTGCTGTTTTTAAACAATCATTTTAAAAATCATTGTTAAGTGATAGTATTAAAAATAACGTTAAGAAAATTATACATAGGTATACAAAAACTATAAAAAATAAAAATCTAATCTACATATATATTACTATATCATTTGTATACTATATTATATTTTATATGTTTTCATATATTGAAAATTTCTATTCTTCTTAAATAATTGTACTATCATGAAGTAATACCTACCTAGATAACTGACGACAAGGGTCGGTAATAAGATAATGCTAAGTAATATAGCAATGATTGGATCAATGAAACAGGCAATGCTTATCAAAGTTTCCGCCATCGTCTATGGGACAACTGAAAAAATTGTATTTGCTTTAATATAATATAACTTATTATTATCTTAAAAACAAAGAATTTTAACTGTTTTATATACAGTTCTAATCTACAAAAACATCATTGTTAACATATGCTGACATTAAAATTTCAAATACAAAATGAATTATGGTAAAATAAATTGTAGTTTTTAAAATGTTTATAAACCTCTCTGTAAATCAGTATTAATTTTAATATAAATCATTATTTAATGTTAAATAAATAATAATTAATCAATTGTTTAATATAAATTAAAATTTACTTATTTTATTATCTATCACTTTACGAATATTCGTAGTTTTTTATTCTAAATTTTAGTCTAAATAAATAACAATTATTTGACAAATAAGGAAAGGCGACTTAGCACCCGCTAATTACATTTTACAAAATATCATTTAAATATCATCTGCATTTGTACTAAAATTTTATTGATATATTTTCATCGATCATATAATTTTATTTTACAGATGATTATTATATTCTAGTATATTTCAACTTTATTAATTTAATTAAGCAAATCTTACTTATGAAAGGTATTATACTGTTTTATTCAATTTTGAATATCTAAAGAATATAATATAAAGGTATTTTATTTATTTGAATAATTTTTTATATCACAATTAAAACACAAAAATGTTAATTACTTCAATTGCTTCTTTTACAAAGCGATTTCTTAACAAAAATAAAATCTAATAAATGTCAGCAAAATTAATTATAAATCGAATATAACATAATAGCTTCAACAAGCTATCAGTAATTAATTTTTTTATTATTATTATTTTCAGAATATTTTAAACAAATTAATACAAACTATCAACTTGTAATTCTAAGAATTTATGCTATTGTAGATGCATGAAAATTGGTGGAATACATATGAATAATGTAAAGAACTCTAATTTTTATTTCTATAAATAAATTTATTTGTTAATCACATCTTTAAAATTACTATGTAAAAAGATTAAATGCATAAAAGGCAATTTTTTTACAAAAAATTGTGTTCATCATTTTTTAAATTCAATTTTATAAGTAATTAAATCTATTTATGATATCTACAATAATATTTTATTTATATTTTTTTTTATTTAAATTACAATTTTATAGTAAATCTAACGATATAATAGAGATCTTGAAAAAATACAAGCAAAAATTATCTCAAAAACATTATCGGTTTAGAATAAAAAGCGTTTAAATTTCGAATTGAATATTTCATTCTTCTGATAATCTATCTTAAAAACTGCTAAATTAGAAGCGAATTTTTTTGTCAGTTATTCTTTAAAGAAGCGATTAATGTAAATCTATATAAAATAACAATAATATATAATATTAATATGAGTAACTAAAATACTATTTTGTGTAACAAATTTTACAAAATATTAAAGAATTATTAATAAGTTTTAATAATATATTGCACTTAGAGAACTATAAACAAATATTGATGGACGACATATTTATCATTTTGGAACGTCTTTTTATCACTTTTTGCACAAAAACAACTAACAATAGGTCATAACTTCTGATGTATGACTTTATACGACATTCTAAAATTTACAATATATAAGACGCGAAGTATAAGAATGACATGTAACAGAACATCAATACAAGTACTTTGAAATACTAATCAGCGATAGTGTTATTACAACATCGACCCAGAAATTTTTGTTCAAAATCGAAATTCGCAGACGTCATATTACCAGATCGTTGGATTTATGACAATTGATGTGTTACGACTATTCACAAAGCTCGAATGATGACTAGCTCAAATTGCGTGTACACCGATTATTGCTTCTTCGAAAGAACCGAATTTTGACTCGGCACATACATTAAGATTACGCCATTACTTGATTATCTTTCTCGTACACGTCACCTTCTCTAGACTGCAACTGTACTTTTTCCTTACCTTATATTAAAACCTATGACACCTTAAGATATTCTTTGGTATAGATGTAAAAAATAAAACTTTTACAGTTTAAAAAAAAAATAAACTAAACTTCCGAGATTTTTTTGCACTTTTAAGAATGTGATAACTTGATAAATAAGTATCAACAGAATCACTTAAAAATTAGTTTTGATCAAGAATATGTATAAATGTGTGTGTGCGTGTGCGTGCGTGCGTGCGTGCGTGCGTGCGTGCGTGCGTGCGTGCGTGCGTGTGTGTGTGTGAATAATGAGTAAGCATACAAATTTTTTTATTTTTATTTAAATCGTCAAATTTCTACTGTATTTAATATAAAAATATTATGAATTCCATTTATATTAGAAATTCAGAACAATCTTATCTAACAAGGTTGAAATGAGTCACTATCTTTTATTTGGTATGTAAATAAGTATAAATATTTTCTGATAAAAACATTTTTATACAAAGAAAAATGAAATTTTTTCAAATAAATTAAATATTTTTTAACAAAAGAAATTTTTTCTGACATCATTAAAATTGTTAACATTAAAACTATACCATACTTTTGAAGTGATCTACTCTATTTCTGATTTTATAATTTTATAAATTCATAATATTTCAACATTGCTTTGGTGCATCTTAAATTTAAAAATTGAATAGAAGATACTATAAATAATGTATAGAAATATATGTTAAAATAATTTTGTTATTCAAGGTAATATATTAAATTTAATATAATATATTAAAAAACTATTCATTTTAAATAACAAATTTTGGTTTAAATATCAGGATAAAAATTACAATGAAATTGTAATTAAATGAAATTATAATTTAAAAACTTAAAAATTAAAATTAGTACATATATTTTAATCTTAATTAGATAAAAATTGTTTTGGTAATATGTTATACTAAGTTATTTTTAGAAGTATAAAATTTAGTATAAGGCGAGCATCTCTTATATTATGGCAACGAATAATACACATTCTGAAATGGTTACATTAAAATATGTCTTTTTTCTTACACATATGTATTATTAGTAACACAAATTTAATTATTAAAAAAAATTAATTTAAGGGTAATAAATATTTTTTATGTTATTGTTTTTATTTTAATTAATACATTATTGTATAAAACCCAAATGAGTAATTTAATTTTACGTTATATAATATAAAAAAGATTCTACTTCTCTTTCTAACTATGTCTTAAAAGTAGATCACAAAATTTACGTAACACATTGTAAACTATTTTAAAAGTAAAAATATTTAAGATTGTTTTTGAAAATACTTTCAAAAATATATATAGTAAACTTATAATTGTTAAATTCGGAAACCATATAATGATTTTATTAATATTCATTCATTATGTTCACTAAATAATAATGCTAAACTTCTCACTTTCAATTCATTGCATAATTTTAAGAATTATAAATATAAATTTTAATACAGATAATATATTTTAATATATCATACATTATTTACCAGTTCTATTTGATTAAAATATAAATTCATGTTTACATTTTGTTATTAAACTTAATTATTACTAACTGTAAAACAAATTGAAATTTGTATCTCAATTCTTAATTTATATTTAATTTTTTATTACACCTTATTGTATAAAATTATACAATATAAATTTCGTTTATAAGAAAAAAATTATATTAAAAAAACTTGAATTAAAAATAAATTATAAAAAATTATATGAACTATGAAATCCCTGTAAATTATAAATAGTTATGCTTATAAGCAAATATTTCTTTGTATTATAAATATTTTAGAAAAATGTTTACAATACTAATATTAGGAATTTAAGAATGCATATGTGATTTCAGTATAATTCTCTTAGATAATAAGATTTTATTTAGACAATTATAAAACAAAATTAAAAAATTTTTTACATTTGGATGAAGTATCTATATTTAATATTAATCATTATTCAATCTTATATACAATACATACATAGACGATTGACAAAAAATATATAAAATATTACATTGAGTAGAAATAAATATAAATTAATACACAAACATTAATAATAAAAAAGTGTTTCATGTAGTTATAAAATTCGTAGAACAGTAATATATAATGAATTATGAATAAATAAATATGTAACTACTTAATTTATCATTAATGGCTTATTACAAAATTCATCAATTTTTAATATCATTGTTTCCTTACTTTTACTTTTTTTCTTTCTTTTTATTATTAATAATAATTATTATTAATAATTATTATTATTAATAATTATTAATGAAAATTTTATATTTCTCTTTTTTTAAATGATTTTATAAGGAATTTAAACAATCTAAAGAATAATATTGAGTTAAAATGTAACAGTTCCATAGCTTAGAATTATTTTTATAAACATCTAACATAAAAGAAGTGTATTCACATACATTTCTATATTATTTTGTAATTAAATTTTTAATTAATTATTTTTAACCTAGTTATTCATATTAAATAAATCGTATTAAATAAATAAATTTTTATTCATACAAATAATATATATATATATATATATATACACGCAAAATATGTATTATAAAAGTGAAATTATAATATAGGTTGATTTTCTTTTAAAATTTTTTACAAATTATATTGTTTATATATAATTTATAAGTTTATTTATATATAATTAATTAATTTAATAGATTTTACTCCTTGATATTTTTTAATTAGAAATATTTTACAAAAATAGTGAATGAATTTTTAATAAATAAATCAATAAATAGTACATATATAAAGTTTTTAATATAAAAAGTTTATATTTTAGGAAAAATTATATATCAGTTATAGTTTAATATAAATTTTATAGTGGTACGTGTGATTGACTAAAGAATTGTAGAAGTCCATTTAAGATTTTGGTCTTTTATTGATCAAAGTTCTAAATCTTATGAACAGCACAAATACATGAATTGTTAAAATAGAATATTTGTAGGCGCCCGCAAAGACATAAATATTTGCAGTAGCGTAGGAAATATAAAATCTACTGATTTTTTTAAAAAGAGGATGTACTGGAGAAGGGATGTAATGAAATGTCTGATCTACCCGTATCCACTTTACACATATTGCACAATTAAACGAATTTTTTTATTTATTTTCATTTTTTTAGTTGCATGCATCTATATTGTTTGAATTTTATTTAACTTGTTTTTAATTTAATTTGTTATTTAACTTGTTTTCTTCTTTTATTTAAAAAAGTTTTGTATTTTAATAAATGTGCGTTTGACAACGTCACATAGTTTCAATCCTACGCAGTACATAACCAAAAATCATTCGATTAAGGGAAGGCCACGGGAATTTCTACTCCAGATTAATGTATATGTTTGTGTTTTCACAAATGACAGAACTCATCAATAAAACGAATTCATCTTTATTTTTTATATTTTTATGTTCAGATCGTGTATAAAATATTAAAACTGTATAATATGAATTTTTATTTTTAATTTTAAGTTACCCATTTGACGTAATATGGTTTTTATCTAAATCATCATTTTTTATCACAAGTTTCATTCTTTAAATACGTTCCTACTCTATAATTTAATAATAAGAAATAACAATTATAAAAGGGTGACTTTTCCCTTAATTGATGATTTTATGATACGAAGTACGATACAAATATAGTATTAATATGTAAAACAAATTTATTTATGATAAAATGAAAATTCTTACATTTAAAATAATACGTCTTACAGTACATATAATTAATTGTCACAAGATTTTATTTCAAATGCAGCATTCGACCATTAAAAAATCCTAATAGTTGATTCCATTGATTTGTTTACAATAAGTTCAGTGATAAGACTACAATTGAGTGTCGACTTTATAGTCATAACTTTGTCAAATCTGAAGTTAAACATGTAATGAGCAATAAAAAAGGAATAATTAAATTTAAGTTAAATCTGATTATATAAAAGTTTTTCAATTAAATGTATTAAAAATTATTTTCAAAATTAAGTTGTTAGTCGATAATTGAAAACTTTTAATCAAAAATTATCAAATGATATATAGTTTTTATAAATCGCATATACACATACATATTTTTATCATTAATATGCAAACACACATACACACATAATTTAAAAAAATCTAATAAGCACTTTAAAAAAATATATTTAAAATTATAATTAAAATTAGATTTTTTTCAATAATGTTATAAAATAAATTATGCAATTAATTGCTAATCAACTTTAAAAAATTTCGCATTTAGCATAACTAAATATTTTCTTAAGCTTTTATTTTGCTTTATCAAGTTTTGAAAAAGGAATGGGTTCATGAATATACAATCTACAATATCACATGACAAACCATGTTCATAAAAGGTTTCTTGAGTTAAATTAAATAAAGGTAACGATACATTTTTGATTGTTTAAGAAAAATTAATAGTAAACTATGATATAATATAATTCACCTACATGATTTATATTAAGTGATCTATAATTTGTATAAAACAGTTAATTGTCTAATAATTACTCTTAAAGCCCTTACAAATGTATTAACTATATAAATATATGTTAAATTAATATCATATTTAAGCTTTTCAAATCATTGATAGTCTCAAAATGAAATATAATTTTTTTTTCTAATAGCAATGGCTTGTCATTTATAAATTTGAAATAACTAGTGCAAAAAATATCTATATTAATTATCACTTCTTTTTTACAATATAATCATTAGTTTACTATTAAATTTGTTATTATAGAAATATAATCCACGTTTATATATTTTTTTAAAATTACTTGAAATTTATAATTTTATTAGAAAATTTCGTTTTACATGAAATATCGATATTTTCGAGATCTAAGATATTTCCAATTCTAGTTAAATACATAAATAGATTCACTATAGCATTCGAATTTTATAACAAAGCATCAAGAAAAACTATTAAACTAAAGAAAATTAAAAAAAATGTACAATAAACTTTTTAAATCGTCCGCAAAGTTTTACACTTTTGATTTATATACCATTCTTGATATATTTTGGCGACAACAATGCTTATCAATACATTTCCATCTTTTCAGTTCATCAACCTCATTATTACTGTCATCTTATTCCTTCATTTTGTACCACAAAATTCTTTCACTGGCTCGATCTGTGTATAAAAATAGAACTCATTTTGATAATAAACTACCTCTATAAGGAACGATTTGTAGAAGTGCCCTGAGTATAAATGTACGACCGCATATCCTGATCATCCTGGGATCGGTGTTTTGTGACTGTGGATAGAGGCGGCAAGGCGTCGGTGAAGACAAGGCCATGACGCACTGCAGCTACGTCGGGCACAACGGAATTTCTGTTCAAGTCTACCTCCGTGCGTTTTTACAACTTTCACAATAGCCTAATAAATAAAAATAAATCATGGATGAATGGTTCATATTTAATAGTAGTTATCTTGATATTTAAAAATAAAATCATTTCCCATAAAACTAAAAACAAGTATAAAGTTGAAACTTTTAAATTTATAGCTTTTAAGAATGTAGTTGATTTAGTTTCTAAAATTAAACACTAATTTTAGATACAATTCAAAGAGCATTTTAACTTTATTAATATGCTAAAGGTTATGCCTTAATAAATAATAAAAATATATGAAAACATTTTATTTATCAACAAATGATTTATCCAACTTGAACTCATTATTCCAGCAAACGATGAACCGCTAATAATAAATTATTAAATATGCAATTTTCTTAATTAATATTTGTTTTTTTGATGAAATACTTTTAAACATTTGAAAAACTGTTCGATATGCTTTAATGTATACCACAAAATATAATGACAAAATATTAAAATAAAATACCAATTTTCAATAAGTATTAAATTAATTTAAACAAAATATAATAATGTATAGTTCCTCCTACTGGTTTTAAGACACAGAAACTCCATAATATCAAAACTCATTTTCATCTATCTTTTACAATTTAATAAAGTCGCTATTTATTTTATACAAGATATTTCTATGTAAGACTCAGTACATATAATTTATTAAATGAAATCGAATTTTAATTTAAAATGAATTCTTTTCATTCAACAATTTTATGTTTAAATGAAATATAATAACATTTTTAATTTAATTATATAAATAAACTAAAAAGCTTACCATCATTTGCTGATGCTCAGTAGGAGTAGCATCTTCTTCTGGTGGAATGATAACAGGTTCATCTGAGTCTATAGACATTTATTGAAATTCATACTTTTAGTAAAAATTTAAATCAAATAATTATACATATATTTTTTTCATTAATGGTTTTAAAACGTTTGATTTCATTAATATTCATACACATTTGTGAATATTATCATTTATTAAAAATTAAATTAAAAAGAAATTTTTCAATATTTAATAGATTCATTTATGTAAGAAATAGTAACTTACATATGAGGCGTTGCGAGTCGAAGCCAGCATTATTCACTTGAATATAAATTGACTTAATTATAGATATTTATTTCAAATATGAATATATTTGAATTTTACTTAAAGTATCAAAAAAATTTGTAATAAAATTATTTAATAAAATTTTCTTATTCATTATAACTGAATTTATATAGTTTAAAAATAAATTTTGATAAATAAAAATAACATCTAGTTTAAAAATATTTAATACATTGTAATTCACTGATGTCAATATTAAAATAAAATAAATTCAACATTGAATTTTAAATACATTAATTAATTTTTATATATTTTTAATTATAATTTCCACATATTTTATTTATATTCATTTAGAAATTAAATGAAATATATTTTTATATAACAAATATTTAATGAACTAAAATATGAATAATTTGATTAAAACAGTAATATATATATATATATATATATATATATATAATATAATATATTTTATATATAACGTTATTTTTTACAAATTAAATGCGAAATCTATACAATATAATTGTAATAATAATAATATATCTAGTATTTAATATACATTAAAGGATACCAATACAATTTTTATCTAGTACTTTTATTAGATAAAAAATTGTACTTTTATAATTGAGAAAACAAAAAAACTCTTAAAAAGAATTTATAAAAAATATTGATTCGAATTTATTAATTTATATATACACTTCATTTAATTAAAATTAAAAAAAACTAGTATATATTTTTTAATTAATTTCTTCATAGATTTAATTTAGTATCAAAATAATAAATATATAATTATTATAATTTAAACAGATTTTACCATCAGTGGTACTAGAAAACGTACACATAATACTTTTATACTTAAAACGTTTCTTGAAATTAATTCTTAGTAAAGTCAACAGGCGGTGAATGAAGGTATTAGATACTCACCTTGAGTTTGGCGATGAGCGGGCCTGACATTTTCCACAAAAAGAATATCGGGCGAGCGCCATGGTGTGCCATAAGGTTGTAATCTGTCAACATTTCTGTTGCTACCTGCTGGCCCGAAGAGTGAGGCGCCTCTTGGTGGTTGTCCACCGTTCCTCATGTTATCTACAAAGATAATTTCGGGGGCAGCCCAGGGGCTATTATAAGGTGCCCGCCTCTCATGCCTATTAGCATTGTTCCTGTTATGTAGCCAGAAGCGAGGCTGAGACCGCCTACCAGTGCCTCCGTCCATAGACATGTCGGAGCTTTGATTACCAGACGAACGCCAGTTGAGACTATCATTGTAATTTGAATGCCACATGGAGGATCGAGGTGAAATGCGATCATTGCGTCCATTGCCACCACTACCACCGACGCTTCCGTTGCTATTATTATTGCCACTGCTACCGCCACCACCACCACTACCGCCACCACCACCGCCACCGCCACTGCCACCAACACCATTATTCGGTCCATTGAGACCGCTGGGTCCATTTTGCGACTGGTTCGAAAGAAGACCTGAAGTTGCTGTGGATGGATAGTTCGAACCCATACCCCGATGCGGCCGTCGCATGAATACCGGGTTCACGTTCATTTGGTTATTCAGGCTTGTTGTCGATGCTAAGGACAGACCAAAGGTTTTTTCTGTAATGAGATTTTCTAACTCTTTTGGTTTTGATAAGAATAATTTATCATTCTTATCTTGCTAATTTATGTTTTATGAATAACAGAATCATTTTTTAAAAATGAGACTGATTTGTATTCCTTTGTAATTTATCAACTTTATATTTCCTTTGAATTTCAATAATAAAGTAAAATTAATGTATTTTAAATTTATATTAATTTTTTAACAAATTATTTTTTATAATTCATTATTTTGTTTTTTCTTAATATTATTGCTTATACTGAATTGTTATGCTTCAATGGAAAGGAAGAAGGGCTGCTGGTAATTTAGAAAGATTAAATATAAACAATAATCTCGAAAATTGAAAATTAAAATTTAGAAAATGAGAACATTAAATGTATATAATTATCCATTGCAGATTATGGTGAGTATGAAATAATGAGTTCTTGATGCTTTTACATAAATACTTCAAATTTAATTACTTTCTTGAATGTTACGAATATTTCAATACATATGATTTTGTATTGGAAATAGCCTCCTATCCTCATCTAATATCAGGTTATTAAATATTTTATTTTTCTTAATGACCGTATACTTGATCAAAACTTCAAACCATAACCTTGTATTTAAGATAGAGTCTTAAATTTAATGTTGCACTTTATCTATGAATAAAAGGCAACAAGCAAGTTCATTATTCAACATAACTTCAGTACAATTTTATTTAATTTGCTTATAAACTAAGGTTGAAATAATATATAGATTAAGTAGCTAAGTAATAGTCTTAGGCTGGCGAATACTGAAAATAAAAACTCGAGTTTCTTCGATGAGTAAGTGAATATCTCATATCTGCAACTTTCGCCCGCTTCCGCATTATAATGTTGATATAAGAGTAACGAACACAATGCAAACTAATCACGAACTCTAGCTTAAATGCAAAGTTAGCATGCGAGATGTTAGCACTAGTCGCGAACGTACCGACGTTGGTGGTGAGGTTTCTCTCGGCCTGCCTGAGGGGTAGGCAAATCGGGCAGTCGCTGACGACGCACCGGTTCCAGTGATCGATAATCTCCTTGGTGGAACCGCAGCAACTTATGCCGACCGGACAGGTCGTTATATGATTGAGGAGATTCTTCGTCTCGCGACAGTGAGGCAACGAGCACAGCAGCATTACGTCATTTTCTTGGTTCTCGCGTTCTTGGCACTTGTAAGCATGAGCCAATTGCTTTATGACATCTGGCACCTCTTCCAAGCTCATCGGTACCGTGCCTTGCACAAACCGATCAGAAAGTACGAGAAAGCACGAAGCGAAGGTCAGAAGTTATTTGTATAAGTGGCACCGAGGGCTTACGCGTATCGCGTGCCGGTGCTTGACATTTTGATCGAAGGTAGTTTGAAGACGTCGGTCACATTCTGATCTTGTAATAAGAACGAACTTCGCAATTATTTCGCATTTATCGGAAAAGCTGATCGTCAAGATATCACAAAATTCGGTTTTACGTTACGTTTTCGTATATATCATCTTCTTTAGACTCTTGTTTGTTTGCTTTTAGATTCATTAGTGTAAATAACACTGCTAAGAAGTTAATTTTAGCGGTATGAGATTATAATCGAATATGTACATTTTATTATTTCCACCACTATTACGAAGAAACGAACCCGATTTTTCTCACTGTGCGATGTGTTGCAGTTATATATTCATCAAATAATAAGAGTCATGTATTTTCAACGAACAATAATACATCTCAGATTGAGCAAGGCCGATAAAATATACATTAGGTTATGTTCTTATAAGTTTTAATTGTTTAATAAATTTGTTTTGAAAATTACCTAACGTTCAAAAAGAAGTGATAATTTTTTTACATTCTATTTTTGTTAATAAAAAATGAAGTTGCTGATTAAAGAAATTAAAGTAAACTAAATTTTCAATTTTGGTATACAAAATATTTATTCCTTTAAAAAATGTTTAAAATAAATTTTTTACTTTAATAATGTTTATTTTTTAGTTATTGTATATGTACTATCAAATAAGTATTATAATTCAAATACTTTATAATTTTTTTTAAATATTGGATGTGAAACTGTTAAATAATATGTAATAATGGAATTAATTTACTACAGTAATGATTAAAACTGTTAATATTGAAATAAACTTAAATAAAATAGGTAGTTAAAATATTTTATAAAACAGAAATACATAATTTTATTGATAAGATAAAATAATTATGCTAATTATTTTATTTATTATTTACAATAAAATTACTTTATTAAATTTTTATCATTTTTACAATTATTTAAAATATGTTAATTATTGGTAAAAAAAATTATTCAAAAGTTGAAATATACTATGAAAACCTGTGACATATTAAAACTATAAATTAGAGTTTTTGGATATTTAAGAAAACAAGTTTTTACTACTATTCATTAAAAAAATTCATTTTATTTCAGAATTTAACTTTATTTTCAAAACCTTTATTTAAAGATAATTTTTCTTTATTATATACGTGATAGAACCATGATACGATTATCGATCAAGACATTAATATATCACATGAAATTTATTGCCATAATTTGCTATTATTTTAATAGTATGATTGTTTGCCACATATTTACTTAGTTCAAAAAATTTATTTAATTCAAAGTAATCTGAATATCGTGATCTGCTATGAAAGAATGAATAATCAGCAACAGAATGGTATGATATAAATTAAAAAAAAAAATTCCTTCTGATAACAATAACCTCCCGAATAAAAATAATGCATTTCGCATCGAGTCTAAGGAACAAACACCTTGATCAAAATACTCGTGTTGCGCCAGCTACGCAAAAACGCCACCTCTTATCAATACAATGAAGCATGTTAATAAATTTTCTTAAATATATCTTAAAAAATAAAAGAACGAAATATTTACTCGACATTCTGTTATTATTAGTACCAAGTAATTGATTGTGATTTGCTTGCTGAATGGCGGTGGCCTGGCCCCTAGCGAAAACTGGGCAGTAAGGAAGTGAGGTGCCACTTGCTGAGCCCATCAGATTAGGCAAGACTCCTGGGGGTGGTGGTACATCGTTCACATGTAATCTCATATTAACAGCCGTACCAGTTCCAGCACCACTGCTGACACCTCCATTGTTACCTGTCGAACCTCCACCACCGCTACCACCAATACCACCACCACCACCATTGCCTGGAAATGGAGAAGGACCCATCGGGTAAGCAATACCAAGCGCCTCGTACGTCCGTCGAATATCCGACAAATTGTAGTATTGGATACCCGCTTGTGTTGGATTTGCTAGTTATACAAAAAACAAATTTATTAATATTTTTATTGTTAGAAATAATATAAGACAAAATAATGGTATAAATTAATCACATAAGTTCTATCTAGTCTAACTAGGTAGTTAGAACTTTATGTAAATTTGTTAAACTTAATTAAGATTATGAATAAGAAAATAAAATAGAAAGAATATACATATGTCTATATCCATGTTTTCAATATTAAATTAAAAGTAATAAAGATTGATAGCAAAAAAAAATTTTACCTCGTTCTTTTGCAATAAAATGACATCGTTTAGCCATTAAATCATAATACTGTGTCATTGAATTGGCGGTTCTATATGTTTCATTTTCCACGCTAGTAGCAATAGAAATGCAATTATGCATTCTATTCTCTAAGCTTCCTGCTTGAGGATCTGGAGTTGTAGAAAGTATTTGCGCCCTAATTCCGAAATAAAATAAGTATTCTATAATAATTCATTTTTCGAAATTCAGATTTAAAAATGAATGTTCATAAATGTATTTTAAAAAATTAGTAGTTTATAATTAATTAAAAGGAAACAATTAATGATGTTATTACAGAAAGATATTAAAAAGGTAATGTATGAAATATTTTTGAAAAACTATTGATATTCATGTTTTTTAAATTATTGATATAATTAAAAAAAACACATTAAGTTAGACTATCCTCTGGCTATTGAATTTATAATTTTATAATATAATTATTTTATAAAAGTATTCTTCAAATATGAAATATTAGATATTTTAAGAATTTAAAATATTAGTAACATTTTATATTTAATTTTTATATTATCACTTACTATGCTATCACTTATTAGTACATACATATATTATAAAAACTAGTTTTTAACATATTAAATATTTTTGAATTTGTTATATTATGATTTTTTTAAGTATAAAAGGTCATTTTAATAAATGTAATTTACAAAATAAAAGTACGTACATTTTACGAATAAGACGATTTCTAACATTGAAGGTAACAGATTTGTGCCATTCCTTGGATTGTAATCTACCAGGGATTTGCGAATTAATGATACTACTATTTTCTGATAGTACTCCCTGTGCAGAGTCATTAAGGCCGAAGCGTTGCTGAGAACTAACAGCTGGTGAAGGCATGAATTGACTAAGTGGAGTTGCCATTAAAGCATTCATTGGGTGTAAAATGTTTGGAGCAAGAACTTGTTCTGCGTTTGGCATAAATTGCGTTGAATCGCCTGAAAAACCTTTAGTATTCTTAAAGAGAAATTATTGAAAGTATTTTTATTATAGATGCGCTTTAATATTAATAACCAAATTTATCGATTTATAATACAAATAATTTTGTCTTAATTAAAATATTATAAGAATACTAAAAATTCCTATAATTCTTTTAATTCTTTAGAAATAAAAAAAATTTTTCTATAAATTTCACTAATATACTTAAGAAAATTAATACAAATTCCTATAAAAAAAATTAAGTCTCATGTAAAAATGTACATATATATTATATTTAATGATTAATTATTCCACCTATTGGTATACTGCTACCATGCACTTGATCATGAACCATTGGTCGAGGTCCTGGTTGTCTACTATTAAATGCTTCAAATTGTGGACGAGCAGATCCTATTGAACTACTAACTGGAATTCTCATAGTTCCTCCAACAGCTTCTTCAGAGAATAAATTAACAGATGTTACTGAGTGTGTAATGCCTGACTGATTATGAGATTGAGTTGCTGTAACTGCTAAAACATATACGTATAACGTATTCTACTGTTTATTAACATAGAATTAAAAAAAAAAACTATTCTAAACAATTCCATTAAGTCATGAATGTATAGAAATTTAGTTTTTAATTAAATAGCTTTTTTAACAATAATTTTTATGAATCATGAATTTTTTTATTTGAGATAATATAAAATATTTATAAGTACTTAATTGATTTAATTATTGTTTTCTTAATTTTATTTTAATTACCTGGTTCTCCAAAATTGTTTGGTCCATAATTTTGTTGCATGTTAACTAATTGTATGTTATTTGTAGCTGCAGCTGAAGTTGTACTACTTGAAGGAAGAAATTGACTAGACATTGAAGGAAAACCTATTTTATAAAATAAAAATATTAAAAAAAATTTTTCTATAATTAGAATAAAATTTCTATAATAAATCAATTATTTACCATATCCCATCTGTATTTTATGAATTTCTTCTTTTACAAGATTAAAATACTGTGCTCGTGATGTTGCTGTTTTAAATGCTTTACCTTCAATTTTTCTAGCTGCAGCAATCCACTTTCGTGATCTATTATCTGAATTTTCTCCATTTCGGGTATTATGTATAAGTGCTTGAGATCTTCATAAAAAAAATAGAAAAAAATTGTATATAAATATGATTACTTTGTTTTATTAATTAATTAATTTTTATATTTATTTTAATTAAAAATAACAAGAAAATTATATAATAAATATTTTCTAATAATTATAAAATACTCCGTATTTGTAAATTAAATATTACTGTCCAGGTAACATTGGTTAAATTAAAAAAAAAATAATAATAGACAATTAAAATATATAAAATCTTAAACCAATTTTTAGATATTCTAGAATCAAAACTTACATCTTATGTACAAAACGATTTCTGCTATCTGGAGGAATAGCGTGTCTCCAGTCAGGTGTAGAAAGTTGCCCAAAATCTTGTATTGGATTTAAAGCCAAATTACCAGTCATTGACATTGATGTCATATTTATATCTGTTTCTCTATCTTGAGTTGCAATAAACCCAAAAGGTACCATATTTGATCTAGCATCTATAAAAATTTATAAGAATTCATTTTTATATACTTAATATTATTTTTCTAAATCAATAAAAATAATGTAGTATTATGATATATATAAATACAAATAAATTAGAATAATCCATCATCAATTTTCCAATAAATAAATATTATACATATACAATTATATATTAAGTTGAGTACAATTGCTAAGTTATTAAATTTTTTTAGTTAATTCATATCTTTCTATTCCTATTATTCATTATAACCATATATATTATTTTCTTATTTTTACATTAAAAAATAATTTCTTCATGTTAGATTTATTTTTCAATCATACTCTTATTAAAATAGATTTTCTAATTGAAATTGTTTCAATATATTTTTAAATCTATTAAAAAATATGTAAGATGTTTAAAGCATTTGAAAATAAAATGATTTATTCTAAAATTTTAATGTCTATATGTATTCATCTTATTATTATGTATATATACACAAAACTTAAATATTAATGTATGAAAAAAAATCATATTCTAAAATATTTTATAACTAATTTAAATATGAATGGACAAATTTTTATTTCTAAAGTTAATATGCATATTATAATTTTAATTTAAACTCAGTGACAGTTCTTTTTTTAATTATACAGATACAGTGTATTCATAAATGATAATTAAGATAAATATGGTAATATAATATAAATTAAAAATTTATGATTAAATATGACTGAATTTAATTTATCGGTACAAGGAAAATACAATAACGCATTTATATGTAATATAATTTAACTATTTAATATAATTTTATATATTGTATAATAAAATAATAAAAATTATACAATATAATTTAATATAATTATAAATTGGGTGAAAATCATTAATTTAATCATATAAATGAACATGCTAATCAAATTAAAGTCCTCAACTTTGATATATTTATTAGTTCTTATTTTAAATTCTTTTTATTATTTTGAAACTAAACTTTTTTGTTTAAATTCATACATTTTACCAAAAAAAGTTATTATTGATATTTATAAATGTATTCAATAATATTAATAAAGATGCATTAAACTATTGTTTGTTTAATACTTTAAATAGATATTAAAAACTATAAATTTAAAAACTATCATAATGTATTGAATGCTTATATATGAATATTATAAATATATGAGCTTGAGTAAAAATACAAATTCTTATAATTTTTATATAATCTAAGAGAAATAAGTTAACATCCAATTATTTCTCTTATGCAATTGAGAGCAATTTTTTTTATTAAAATTCTATGAAATTTATTGTTGAAAGAATAATTAGTTTGATAACATACATAATAAAACAAATATGTATGCATAATTTTAATATCAATATAATTATTTTATTATTTCAGATAAATTATATTGAATATTGATATTTCTAGTTGAATTATATTACAAAATGTATAATTAGATTTTTTAAAAATTCAATTATTTTATTTCTATAAAAGATCCTTGATTTTGCACCTACAGTTCTTAAGATCTTATGGCCTTTGAAGGATAAGAAGTATTTAATGTGTAAATTTGTTAATTAAATAGTTTTTAAATAAGTTTTAATTAAAAATTGTTAAATATAATTTAAAAATTATTATTTTACACAGTAAATATTTTTGTGTTAAATGGTGCATATCATATATAATGTTTTATAATAAATTATAATAAAAAGATACAAACATTAATTTAAATACGATTTAAATTTTATTTTGATGATTTATACAATATAAAATTTCAGAGAATTTTTAATTAATTAAATTTTTAAAGTGTAAAATTTTACATTTTAAAAATAAAGATGATAAATAATTATTATATTTCTTATATCTACTTATATTTAAAAATAATTGTAATTAATATATTATATTTATTAATCGAAAATTTATATTTTTAAATATCAAAAAATTATTAGAAATATTGTAACCTAGTTGAGTATTAATATGAGATTTGTTACACAGTAAGCAGAAAAGGTTTATTTTTTTATACACCATTAGTATTTTTCTTAAAACAAAAAAACTATTTGAAATTCTATAATTTTATTATAATTTATATTAAATTAGCTATCAAGTTAACTTATATATGATGATTTTAAAATTGTTTTATAATTATGAAAAAATAATTTATAAAATAAAAAATGTTAATTTTAAACTTGAAGAAATATAGAGATTTTGGTAATGACCACTTTTTAATCTTATATTGACCTATGCTTAATTATAAGTATGTATACAAATCAAATCCTCACAATTTCACTCTAAAAAAGCACAAAAACTTTGTGCTATATCTATAAGAAAAAATTAAAAATTCGTAATTATCTCGAATGTATCCTCGAAGGGTCAAAAAGGCTAAGAAAATTCAAGATAACATTTTAAACCTGCCAAAAACTCCTCCATATATAGAACACACTATCGAAAGCATATCGATTAATCACCTAAGGCCGTGCCTCCACACCTGCCTGAATCTGAGACAAAGTCGTATCTCGGCAGTACACAGTAATGTTGAGATTTCTTTCTCCCAAAATAAAGAAAGATAAATATAAATAAACACAAAATAATTAATAGTGCAAGCCGAAAATTTTCGTACCTCCCATTTCTACTTTTCTTTCGATAAATTTACTCGTGTTCGATCGATATTGCTTATAATTCAAATGAGCTAAGTACAAAAAACTAGACGCACATTATCACATGCATTTGCGTTCAAAAACTACCTCGAGCAACGACATCCGCGAGGTGTACACGACATTTCCTTGCCACTGCGTGTTAGTCTCTACGGTTCCTACGCCGCGATGCTCCCAAAAAAGGTTAAAGAGAGACAGCGCGAATAACACAGCAGCGCAGTAACAACGCAACTACGCAACTCTCCGCTACTACATAATCTATCCTCATTTCTCCTGCTCTCCTCAAGGCACGCACGAAATGAAGAAAATTGTATGCTCCGACAATTCCTTTTTTTCGTCTTATGTTTCATGTACGTTACATCTAAACACTTATTATGACTTTACATTCTTAAGAATTCGTTTATTTATATTGGGTCGATTTAAAGCACGAAGATGACGATCACAATGATGAAGCCAATGCAAGCACGAGTCAGTCCTCACCCGAGAAATTGGTTGAAATTTGAAGAGAGTCGCCGGGCCTTGCTCGCTTATAGGCTGGTGGACCTTGCTGTAAATATTCCTCCATTTTCGGCTTTCTCACAATTCCGCACTAAGAGGAGGAACAGGAGGAGAGCAAGAAAGAAAGATAGATAGATAAATAGATAGATAGATAGATATATAGATATATAGATAAATAGACAGATAGATAGATAGATAGATAGATAAGTAGATATAGAGATAGATAAACAGATGGATAGAGATAGATAGATATATAGATAGATAGTTAGATGGGTAGAGATAGATAGATATATAGATAGATAGTTAGACGGGTAGATAGAAAGAAAGAAAAGAAACAAGAGAGAGCTCCAGCGTCACTCTATAACTTTTTCCCTTCCTCTTCTCGGAGATTTTGTAATTATCCCTCTCTGCTGTTCTTTTGCGTGCGAGTTACGTGTAGAAATGCGTGTGTGTATGCGCGCATATGAGTCCGTATATATCAGCGTGTATACGCGACGTAAATGAGCGCGTGCTTATACGTATGTGAGCAGCGCACGCGCATGCTGGGAAAGATTTAAAGAAGTTCCGAAGTTATGTATATGAGGCGCGACGACTCTTCTCCGAGTAATACCCAAAACAACGCAGCAAACAACGACTATGCGTGCGCTGACTCGCAATAGACGACTTGTGCGCGTGTGCACCAATATCCCTCTTAAGCACCTCTTCTCAAAGTGCGCACTACGTGCGTGCGCGCGTTGGCCCGCACATCGAGGTTTATCGAACTCCTCTCTCCGTTACACCTCGATCTCTCAGGGTTTCTTCACGATCGTGCTTGTACCGTAAATTATGCGAGTTACTAAACTTATCGTTACATGACACCGCCTCGATTTGCTTTCTTCCCTCTTCTTTATTCTTTCCTCATTGCTTCGTATCCAACGTTGTTCGATTATGCATACCAAACATGTACATCACTCACGTCAACTCTTTTTCGTCGAAGCTCAACTAAGGCGTACCGAGCGCACAAATAATGCTCGCTCAGACACACGCGTAGCAGAAGAAAAGAGCAGCTGCTCCTCGTGTACTTCGTCTTTCTGACTCCCTTTCTTACCTCGTCCGTCTCACTTAGGCGTATGCATGCGTAGCAGCGTAAGGCACAACATGCTCTCCAACGTTGGATTTACGATCGACAGTATGTTTATTGACTCGCGCACACAGAGGCGCTAAGCACGTGAAAATCCTTTTAAAATGTTAGGTAGTTTGATCATGCGCGCGCACAAAGAGCCTCGCTTCTACGTACGAACACATACGTATATATAAAAGATATACCCTCGCACTCACTTGCTCGCTCGCACTCACTTATTCGCTACACTCTCCTGTTCTGGCAAGTCTCTTTACTTTCATTACACACCACAAGCTTAATAAGCTTTTCCAAGGCGTACGAGGTACGTATTCGACCTCCACTTCTACATACGCATAAATATTTTTTTCGCAATAGGACACCACGAAAATGTGTTATCGTATTACATCCCTTAAAACACAATATTTAAGTACCGTCTGTGGATAAGTGACCGCGCATATAAACCTCTCTCTTTCAGTGTCAGAACGATACTACAGTGGCTTGCAACTCTCCTGTTTTCTATTCGTTTGATGTATACGTTTAGTCGAATGACTCTAAAGTGGGGGCTGAATCAAGAGGAAGAGCAGCGCTGAGTTCAAAGCTTCTATATAGAGCTCTGCTACTTACATGTATACATGGGCAGTAGCAGTGGGAGGTAAAGAGATAGACCAAGTAGGCGAAGGCAGAAGCGGCAGGGATAGGGAATGCGCGTAAATTTTGTTAAGAAAAGAAGAAAGTGACGGAGAAGTAGCAATATTGTGTATCAATAACGAGATCAATAACGCTGCTGCTTCCTTGATTATGGAATATTTACAATAATCATACTTTAGCGTAACTTTTTGTTTCTTTTCTTTTTGCACAACAATACAGTAATTTCTTCTTCCTTTATTTATATTAATTTGATCTTTCTTTTATACAGGATTGCTTATAAATACGTATATACAGGCATACGTATATACAAATATGTATGAGAATTCCCTTTCGTCATTCTGAAGGATAAAAATGGAATTGACGGCCAAAATTCTTTACGTTATTGATTAAATGGATGTCAAACGTAGTTAAGTCTACAAGGATGTCGCACACTATTACTTTATATATAAAATAAATAATACATGTATAATACACACACACACACATACCATATTATCTCAGGATAATTATTAATGTTTGTATACATGTGTGTATGTCAGTCATCTTGACGTATGCATGCAATGCAAGAAATTAGAGCACGAGCCGTTGCAGCGTCGACACCGATCTGCACACGTACGTGTCACATATAAGTATGGAACTGATGATCCAAGTATACCTTGCACTTTATCAAACTCGGTACTGGATACCGATAATAAAGATCATAAACGTCTGCCCTGTCCGTAGTTCACTTCATTCACTGACTCCCAAGTCCAGAAACTCATCCGCCACTGTGTACCAGAGCTACTATACGCATGAGTGAGAAAGAAAGAGAGAGATTGATTGAGGAAAAAGGACGAGTGGTCCAATAGCCAACACGTTTAGTTTTATGTGGCGTTCACATTAGTATTCCGTGTATTTGATGTCAAGCAAATGCTCACTAGTTTACTTATAGTTAGCTATTCGCCAAATGTGCCGCCAATAACGTATTCAAAACTTATTTCTAACATGTATAACATCGATTCATGATTATATGCAATTTTAACAAAAACATTGCCATAAATTCCTAATTAAACTATAATACTATTTTTCGGATTTCATCACGAATTCACATTTTCAGTTACTACGTTGCAGTTTATATCGAATAATAGTGTACTTTTTAGATACATATAGAAAAAAAACTTTATTTCATATTCTTACAAGTTTTCATTAGGATATGCTAAATTAACAATAGAGAGTATGATGTATTCAATTTTTAAGAAATTAAAGAAAAGAATAATTATATTAAGTTATGAACTCATGTGTGAATCAGTTAAACGTTTTCTAAATATCTTTTATTAATTTCCTTCAATTTCATACGATAGATATACGATATTCAAAAGTTTATTACTTATTTGTAAAACAATTTTTTATACAATATTTTAATAAAAATGAATTTGATTTCTCTTATATTTATTGTAAATTCGTTTATGATATTATTTTATATAAACTAATCTATTAATCTATTAATAAGTTATAAAATACAATGCCAACAGATACCTAATATCATTATAATAATTATAATGTATTTAAATTTTAATTTAAGAATAATTTTTAACTGTTTATTAGTTTGATTGGTTTTTATTCAAATTTTTTTAAATTGTAATCAGAAAATAAAATATTGAACACTCCGATCAAAAATCTGAATTATCTTAATTTTACCATTTAGTGTTGCAATCATATTTATAATCGTGTTTTTAGACGTATTAACGTACTTTACTTAATTATTTAATAATCTATACCGATAAAATGTTATCAATATTTTATTAAAACTATGGAATACTTTCTATTTAAATCTTTGAATATTTAAATACTCTGTATACATTAATATTTTTATATTAGAAAATTTAATGTACTTTTAAAATATCAAATTTAAAATAAAATATTAAATAAAAATAATTTTATTTTACAATGAAAGCTAAATATTTTCTCTTTTTAAATAATAAAAAATTTTCTAAATAAATAAAATTAATAAATCATAACCAAGTGGCAATTACTATGTAACATTTAAATAATTCTAAATCAGATCTATTTTTAGAAAGCAATGTTTCAAGTCGTATCAAATGTTCTTTTATAATATTTCCCTTAATTATAATTGCGTTAATCTCGAAATATTTACATAAAAATTTAGATATTACATTCTTAATGTAATTTACAATTAAAACATATTTATTTTTAGTAAAATTGTCTTTTCATAAAACATTATATAACCAACCGTTTTAATTTAAATAAATCTTAAATACATGATTGTTCAAAGGAATAATCATACAATGTCCAGTAAATGATTTTTCAAGTATTATGCTGTTGTATCTTATAAAAAATAATATTATTAAAAGTTTTAAGCCGTTTGTTAAATATTTTAAATAATAAAAAATATAAATTCTATAATTGTTTTGACTATACAGTACAATTTAGTTTGTTTACCATTATTTACTATATCATCAACCGATTAGGTAGAGCTCTCTAATATCAACTACGAAGTATTTCATTCAATTACAATTTCAAAATATAAAAAAATTTATATTTGTAATGAGTCTTACATTTATCGAAAATAGCTTAATACTAATTTCACATATTTTTTAATATTAAATAACGCACTGAAAGACTAACTCCAGTGAATTAATGTAAAATTTTAATTACATATCTTATATCTTATTATAATTATATCTATCAAGTAGTACTCTGATAATTGACTGCATCTGTGATCCTAGAAACTTCATATCTTAATCATGATATCTTTTTTCTCTTTAAGTGCAAAATAAAATCGGTAATTATTGGCTACGATACATTAAAAAGAATTTCAAACATGTGTCAAGAGTCCTACGTGTGCGCAGCATCTTTTGCAATGTAATAATCATAGTAGTAGAGTATTGAAGTTATACTCTTTTAATAACATTCCACGTACAACTTTTTCTTATTTATACTAATTATATATCCTAATTATGAGAATGATTATAAACAGTTAAATATCCTTTCTTGGCTATTGATATCAACGAATGCTACCTTCTTAGTATGTATAATTATGATGTCAATTACTTTAATAGAAATATTTACATATAATTTAATATGTACATATAATTTATATTAAATAAAAAACAAAACATTCTCATAAATTAAAAAAAAATTTAAAGTCTAGTTAGTGAGAAAGAGAGCAAAAAGAAAACAGAAAACATAATTGAATGACTGCGCGCGACGCCGCTATTATTAATTTCACATCCTTACTTCAAAGTCGATACTCTGTAATAGTCTACTGTCTAGCTCGTATAATGTTATATGCACATGAATTCGATCTCTCTCGCCCTCTCTCCCTCTCCCACCCACATTCCCTCTCTCTCCCTCCCTCTCTCACCATCCCTCTCACCCGCCACCGCCCACTTTCTCACTCTTTTT